TTTCTAGGTTTCTTTTTTTTTAAAGATTTTATTTATTTGACAGAAAGAGCACAAGTTGGGGAGCAGCACACAGAGGGAGAGGCAGGGCTAAGCAGGGAGCCCGATGCAGGGCTGGATCCCAGGACCCTGGGATCGTGACCTGAGCCAAAGGCAGATGCTTAACCGAATGAGCCACCCAGGTGCCCTGATTTCCAGGTTTCTTATGGAAAATGTGGTTATAGTGAACATGTCTGTTTTATGTTGCTCCTTTATCATTGGACATTGCCCAACAGTACCAAAGTCCTTGATATTTTTGGCACGTTGACTGTCCCTCAATCTCAAGAAGCCCGAAGACATTTTTACTTAAACAGTCTCCTAACAATATTAACAGTTTTCAAGAAAAATGGGAATTTCTTAGATGCTGCTTTAGATCAGGAGCTCATAAAATATTTTAATCCATTTAATGAGACCTATTTATTAATGAATTAAGAATATGGCACCTGGTATTGGGAGGCATACCATCAGGGACCTATCAGCCATGGGGATTTGACTGTACAGTTGGGTTCATTTAGTACCTTTGTCCTTGATTTAGAGGATGGAATTAAAAACCTGTTCATTTTAGCCTCTGGTGGGGCAGGGCCACTCATAAGCTGCAAAAAAGAAAATTAAATCCAAAATAAGAAAAAGTAGAGGAGTGGACTACTGCCTAGGTGGGGTAATATTTGATTACACAGATGCAAGGAAATATAACTGGGGATTAAAATCTAAATAGGTCAGGACTAGAAACAGACCTGGATTAAGCAGACATAACATTGAAGTTTTGGGAAAAAGGACCATGCGAGGCCTTGGCAGTAGCTCAGCAGTAGAGTGTTGGTACTGAAAATTGTGACGAGGTATATTGAGATGGATCAACAGGATGTGGTGACAAGACTGAGAAACAGTCCTGCTATATTTTGAGTTTTTTACAACCATTTAGAGTTTCCAGTTTGAGGCTCATTTTAAGAGGAACATGGAGGATGCTTGGTCAAGAGAAGAGCAATGAAGGTGAATGGGCTGGCCAGTCAGACCTACCCGGAGGTGTAGAGGCCTGAGCGTGGGGCACCCTGCACTTCCAGGCAGCTCCAGCAGGCAGGGAGGGCACCACAGGGCTGGCCTCTCTGCCAGGGGTCTGCTCTGCCGGCATTTACCACTGGGCATGAGGGGGATGGGGAGTGGTCCTGGCACTGAACTCTTATGAAATTGGTTGGGTTTTTTATTTGTGATAAGTTCATTAGAACTTAATTTCTCAGAAGTCCTAATTAACTAAAATCTCTAATGTCTTGCTTTTTTCTTTTCTTTTTTTAATGTGTTATTTATATATGAGAGGAGCAGATATTTGGTCAAAAGAAGCAATTTCTAATTGCCTAGGGTCATTACAGCTTCAGCCTCATCTCTCATAACTTCTACTTCACCCTCAAGACTGTAATGCAGTCATTGATGTTCAGTGTCCTGAGGTACTTCAAGATCATCAAAGGTAGATAGTTTTCAATAAAAAGGTTGAAATAGGATTTTTCTGGCTAACCTTCACTTAACCAGTTACATTTTAGAAACCCTAATTACTTTGAGCATTCTGGTTCATCAAAGTTTTAGTGTATAGGGGGTAAAAATGCTGATGAAGGGGGAGTTTGAAGGCTTTGTTAGAAAAAGTGCTTAATCAGCTACTCCTCGTCTCCACAAGCCGGCAGAATTAGAGGAAATGGGCGTAGTTTGCAGGAGAGATTGAGGGTAGACCTAAAGGACAGCGTCCTGATGGTAAGGGTTACTCAAATTGGAATACCTCACCATGGGAACTGGTTGTGTGTCCATCCCTGTTAACAGTCCCATGACTCAGTACAGAAATCTTTGATGTTTTTAGGTCTAGGACCCACCCCATTTCTCATCTTCCCCACCCCTTCTGCTTTTATCCCTTCTTTTGGCAGGATTTTGTAATCCTCATGACAGAGGTCTTTCTGACCCATGGGAAAGCCTTTGATCGGTCTGTCTTTGGGATATAGTACTATAGAGATAGTCGGGGGGGGTGTAAAAGGAGGCAGTAAGAAGCAGGCTTAAAGGAGCGAGCGAATAAGAAACCAACTAGTAATTATGATCTTGGTTGTCTGTTTTTTTAAATAGAATTTTTAGAAATTCCTCCTTTCAACAAGCAGTATACAGAATCCCAGCTTCGAGCAGGAGCTGGCTATATTCTTGAAGACTTCAATGAAGCCCAGGTGAGGAGTTTCGTGTCGCTTCCTGGAGGGGAGGGGTGAGAAGAGCCTGACAGGGAGGGGATGGGGAGGTTGGGTACACCAGGTAGACAGTTCAGGCACTGGGAAACCGCTACAAGGTTTTGCATGAAACAGAATTTTTACTTGTGTGTAAGGAGGAGAGATTAGAACCCTTGTTTGTTAAAGGCTGTGGTTCTGTTTCTGGGACAAAAGCAGATTAAAATTTGTGTTTAATAGAAATCCCTATTACAGTGTCGCTGATTCTCAGCCTGGAAGGTTGAATACCTGCAATTGTGTTGTCCCTTAAGGGTTCAGGCCCCCAGAAAAACCTGCAGTTGAGGCAGGGAGAGTATCTAGGGAAGTCACTCGGGCCTTTCATTGAGAAAGGAAGCGTTGGGCAGAAGGATAGGCTCAACCCCATTTTGGGTAGTATTTGGAAGTGTTCAGATCTGTTCCCTGCGACTCAGGGGTGCTCTTCAGGGGCTTTCTATAGAAGTCACCAGACCCGTTGGTTCTGTTCCTTTTCTTCCAGTGTAATACAGCCTACCAGTGTCTCCTAATTGCGGATCAGCACTGTCGAACCCGGAAGTATTTCCTGTGCCTTGCCAGTGGGATTCCTTGTGTGTCTCATGTCTGGGTCCATGATAGTTGCCATGCCAACCAACTCCAGAATTACCGCAATTATTTGCTGCCTGCTGGGTACAGCCTTGAGGAGCAAAGAATTCTGGATTGGTGAGTATTTGAGAGCCCATCTAGGATGGTAGGCAGGAAGACAGCATGCTCTTGGAGGGGGAGAATCTAGGTGAGAGTATTTCTAGAAACTAGAATCGTCATAGGATAAATTAGAGAATTTGAGTGAGTTCATTTCAGCAGTTCATCTAGTTTATGTTCCTGAGGTATCCTGGTTAAGGACCTTTTTGAAAAGGTGTGAGGATTTCCATGTAGGTTTAGTAGCCTCGACCTTTAAGGTTAAGGGACTAAGTTTTAAGCAAGGCATTTTATTGTCAGTCCCCGGACGGAACTGGACAGCAGAACTGCTGAATTAGAAGGCTAGGATCCCAGAGAATACACATGATTCACAGGAGAGAAGGGGAGTGGTGCCCTAATGCAAGGCTTTGGAAAACATTCACAGGTGCCAAAGTCCCTTTGCAGAAGGGCTCTTGTTGGATGTCATCTGTCATGCTAAGGTCTTTTCCAATTCCAAGGTGCTGTGTCTCTGACTCCTCCGTAGGCAACCCCGTGAAAACCCTTTCCACAATCTGAAGGTACTCTTGGTGTCAGACCAACAGCAGAACTTCCTGGAGCTCTGGTCTGAGATCCTCATGACGGGGGGGGGCAGCCTCCGTGAAGCAGCACCATTCAAGTGCCCATAACAAAGGTACCTGGAAAGTGTGTGTGGTGTTATTGCTCCAAGGATGTCCTTAGACCCGTAGGTGTTAGGCCTTGTGGTCTGATTGGTTGACGTTATCCATGTTTCTAAGAGAAGAAAGGTACCACACCTTCAAGAGGTGAGCCACTAGGAGTGAGGCACTGGGCTGTTGATGCTTCTATTGGTGTCCAGTGGTGTATTTATAAACATATCTATAAGGTTAGCATATAGTGATTATAACTTTTCATTTTTGGTTGTGATCAGTAACATTGTTTGACATAAAAGGCTTCAGTTTGGGCACAATGCGACATACTGGCTAGGAAGCACATCTTTTTTAATGGAAGGCTAAATTGAGTCTCCTCTCCTCCCTCACCTTCCCCTGCTTCCTGCAGATATTGCGTTAGGGGTATTTGACGTGGTGGTGACGGATCCCTCATGCCCAGCCTCGGTGCTGAAGTGTGCTGAAGCTTTGCAGCTGCCTGTGGTGTCACAAGAGTGGGTGATCCAGTGCCTCATTGTTGGGGAGAGAATTGGATTCAAGCAGCATCCAAAATATAAACATGATTATGTTTCTCACTAAGGATACTTGGTCTTAATGATTTTATTCCCTGCTGTTGTGGAGATTGTGTTTTAACCAGGTTTTAAATGTGTCGTGTGTAACTGGACTCCTTGCATGGATCTTGTATATAGTTTTATTTGATGGACTTTTATGATAAAATAAATGTTGAATCTCTTTGGTTGTAATAACTGGGATTTCTTCATCCATTTCTTTGAACCTAATCGCAGAACAAATAGCAAGACAAACATAGTACCTTCTCTGCGGTTTCCAATAGGCTTGGAGTAGGAGGACAGCTAGCCAAGGAAAATAAGTGAATTTTTAAAATTTTCTGTGGCATCTTTGTCAAAAGGTTATCCTGGGCTAAAATTTGATACTTCCAAAAACCCGATTTTACAGTAGGCCCAGATCAATAGATGTAGCAAAAGTTGAATGGAATGGGACACTTCCTGGCAATTAAAAAAAATCTTTTTAGAGTTGAGCTGACCTGTGGGTACTGTACTCAGAACTACAAAGGAAAAAGCCCCAATTGCTATGAAAGGGCAGTGACTATAAGCCTGATGGGATGACTTTCTGCAAGGATAAACACGGGAAACACAGGGACAACACTTGGAAATGTTAGAAGCTCTGGCCAGAGGTCCAGTTTTATAACTAGTATTGCTGTCACGGTTACTAGAAGCTATTCCTTCTCTACCCTTAGCAGCATCCCTGTTGATGTCCTCTCATTCTCTGAAGCAGGAGTTAAAAAGTTTTTCTTGCCAGTCAGTAAATATTTTAGGCTTTCTGGACCATCTGATGTGTCACAAATACTCACCTTTGCCATGATAGCATGAAAGCAACCATAGACAATAGGTAAATGAGTGTGGCTGGGTTCCAATAAAACTTTATTCACAAAAACAGGTGGCGGGCCATAGTTTGCTAACTTCTCCATAGCAGTGGAAGGAGTCACCTTCATCACACAATTGTAGGAAACAGGATGCAGTGTGCGGTAGAGGATATTCTGTCACAGAGATAAGGACCAGAATCACTGGCTACAGACTGAGGCCGGAATGCTGCATTCTTTTTTCATATAGAGGGAGTTGTTCAATAAACACTTATTTTGGTTCACACCAAGATGAACATTAATAATTACAGTAATGGTTGGGCCAGATCAAGGGAACCTTAACTCCTGTGGTTCTTCCAAAAGGGGATAATTAGACTCGCAGTTTTCAATATTTGAAATCTAAGAATTTGACTTCAGGCTTTTTCTTAAGGACCCCTTTTGTTAAAATAGTAATAATACTTTAAATACATTGTCCATAGCTAGAATTGCCCTTTTTCCAGTCTGAAATAATTGGAAGTTACTACTTACTGCTATCTCTCGCAGCTTGAACAGTACCTAGGCACCTCGTAGGTGCTCAGCAAATGGTTGTGTCCAACAGATGTCCTCTGTGTAGTGGGTCTTGCAAGGTCACCACGTGCCCTCCATGGTGGGTGAGGCGAGAGCTCCCCTGTGGCGGGGCAGACCATTCCACAGGGGAGGGATTTGTACCCACGAATGTTCAGTAGTAGTAGCTTCTAGGGGGAAAAGGTAGGGCCCTCAGTAGGCTGCAGGCATTTGTTGAGTGGCTGGAGAGTGGGCTGTTTTGAATCTTCTGTCACAGATTTGGGAATGTGGTGAGAGACTTGATTTGTGAACCAGGTATTTTCACATCCCGAAACTATTAAAAAAAAAAAAAAAGCCTCATCAAATATGCTTTCCTAAGATTTTCTTCAAAGAAAGAGGAATCAGGGCAGCCTCTGATCTACGTGTCATCTTCTAAAACTCAATTTTCTTTGACTTTTTTGCTAAAATCACTTAGGAAATATCTGCTTGAGGACATCTGAGAGAGAAAGAACAATAAAGTGCTTTTTAAAAACAGAAGAGACCTCTGAGAAAAGCCAACCACCACTGAATCTATTGGATTAAAAAGCTAAGAATTAGAAGGGGCGATCACCTTTCCCTGGCATGGCTGGGGGCCAGGGAGGCAGGGTGCCTGAGGCTGCAGAGCTGGTTAATGTCAGACCTGGGAACCGACCACAGCCACTCCGCTTCCCAGTTCTTTCTTCCAGCCCAGCTGAGAACTAAAAACCCATCTCGGCATCAGGAGTTTTAGTGTTTTACTATGACAATGGCTTTTACTAGAAAATAACCTTCATTAAAATTAATAAAGATGGTCAAACACACCCCTTTATCTCTCTGAGCTTTAATTAGTTTCCTTGTTTATAAAATGAGGCCATTTGGATGAGACAGTGGCTAACGTCTCTCAGCTCTGGAATTATAACTTGTTAAAAAAGACAGACACACACACACATAACTTGTTAAAAAAGACAGACAGACACACACACACGCCACAGACTTCCCCAAGGCTGGTTCCTACCTGCCCAGAGTTCCGCCAGCCTGGGTGTAATATTTGTTATAATCTAGTCGTAAGAGTAGTTGAGCCAAATCTGAGTTGATCTGATGGTTCCGAACACTGGAGAGAATCTTGAATAGCAGTGAAGACTGGCGGCTAAAGCCCTGCAGAGAGGAGTCGGGCTGTCATTCCTCTCAGACTCACCAACTGTCTGTGTGGAGTGAGGCGGGAGGGGGGAGCTCCTTGAAAAACTCTTGCTCAAAATTCTACAGCACCAGCTGCCCTTCCCACAGCCTCGCTTCTCTTAGCTCCTAAAAGTTCTTCTTAGTACCGAGTCCACTGATAGCATGACTTTCTGTGGAAGTACACTCCCATTCTCAGTAGGAAGTTAGCATCCGTTTTCAAATTAATATATTCTGTTTTATACTCGAGCCGGGGAGAGCCTGCGTGTTTTTGTTAGAGTCAGATAATTACAATCCCAGTGAAACAGTTCGCTCAAGGAAGGAAGGAGGTTGGATAGGAGAATGTGAGAAAAAAGCCAATGCATGTGTGTGGGCTGAAAAACTATTCACGGCTGAACTATTTTTGAATGCTGAGATGGCACATAATTATCTGCCTCAAAATGAACTGATACCAACATTTTAATCTTTGTATCTTGTTATTTCTGTGTGTACATTATGTATTGGGGAAATGCTTTATTGACACAGAGCGAAAGATCATGATTCCCTATTGGCAAAACAACCTCTCCCTTTGGACAGGGCTGCATACTGCCAACAGCCAGGCAGACTCACCTTCACCAGGATGCTCAGCTGGGCAGCCCCGCGTTCATCCAGTGGGCCCAGGTTCTGACTGACCAGCGAGCAAAAGCTGTGACAGAGATCTAGGATTTCGTTCAGGCAGTGAAACACCTACCCAGGAAACAGTTGGTATTAGGAAAAGAAAACATGTATGAAATTAAAGATTTGGGAAAACAGTCAAAGAGCTACCTTATTCCCATTCTTTGACCTCAGGAGAGACAATGTCACGGGTCAGTCCTGCCGGCCCCTCAAAATGCAACAAGTGTAAACCAAACTCTTCCCTTCCTGGCAAAGATGCTACCATTCTCTGAGTCACCCCTGCACAAAACTTCCGTTGTAGACACATCACACCAGTCATCGTTTCTGGGACCCACCAAGTGTGCTCCTGCCCTGAGCTTTGCTTCCACTGTCGTTCCTTATAGCCGGGATCCTCTCCTTAATGCCAGTTCACGTTCCACCTCCGTGGAGCACTCCCTTCCCCATGTAGCCTTTAGTGACCCCCTGCTTCTCTCTCTCTATTATCTGTACTGTTCTCTTGGCCTCTGTTCAGGCCACCTGTGTTGTTACTGATCTGTGTGTGTATGTATGTATGTATGTATGTATGTTCTGTTTCTCCAACTAGATTGTGAGCTCCTTAAGGGCAGAGCCATGATTTATACCTCTTTGTATCCCCAGTGCCTTGCATACAGTAAGCACTCAATAAATATTTAATGGTGACCACCTGCACTGATCTTCTGCTTTTCCCAAGGATGCGCTCATGCCATATGAGGACAGTCTGCCTGTCACAACGGCTTTTGGTGTTGTCAGTTCACAGAAAGAACTCTTGGGAGTGGCATCTATATAACCAGCTCTCCTTTAGTGCAGCAAAAATAGCTCCGAATAGGAACAAAAGAGAAGGCTGTAGAGTTTGTGGTGTGGCAGAACTGAGGGAGAACAGCTGGCTGACATCAGAGATGAAGTGTAATCTATGCAACCTATATAATCAGAGAAACTATGAGGGGTCATTTCAACCTTTCCGCTTTCTATTCTGGAATTGGCATGCACTTGTGAGCTTTAAAAAAACACTAGTGCCTGGGTTTCACTCCAGAGATCCTAATTTAAGTGCTCGGGGTCCCAGATTTTTTTAAAGCTTCCAGGTGATTCCCATGTGTAGCCAAGTTTGAGAATTCCCCTGAAGGAGATGTACATACACAAATACACCGGGAGACACTACTCCACTTCTCCTTGAAAACAACTCCCAACTGGTCAATCCTGATCCAAAAGATTGCTAAGAAAGTAAGTACTATATATGCTTGTCGTTAGTCTTTCTGTGGTGTCAGAAAGGTCTTTTAAATTAAATCCTTCCCTTTGAGGGTTCAGCACATGTTCTTTCTTCTATAGCTACTTACCACATCCCTAGGATACAATATTTCAGAAATTCAGACATTTAAGTTCCCTTTTAACATTCCCTTTTAGTTTTGCTTTAAGTTGTGAAAAAGGTCTGAAAATGGAGATTGAGCAATTGTTTAATGATATTTCCATATCCTGGCAACTCGGGATCTAAGGGAACAGTCAGGGGAGAAGCAGTTTGAGGAAACTAACAGCCCTACTTACAGGTTTCAACAAGATAAAGGACTGAGCCAGCAAATTGCTAAGGAAGTGGTCGTGAGCCAATCGGATGCTTTCAAAGTCGCGGGTAGAATTGATCTGATGCAGCAGCTGTGAGAACTGAGACTCCAGCACATCCACCTGATGGGCAGTGACACACAAATACTTTCAGGACCTAGAACATTCTAAGCACTCAAGGACATTAAGATGCCTGACAGTATGAAAGAGAAATTCTCCTTCCTATTCAAGCCACTTTAAAGCTGACCAAAGGCTCCCTTATGTTGCTTAGCCTTGTAGAAAGTTATCTGCCTAATGCCTAATAACCTCCAAAGTTCTGGCAGATCCCCTCCACCGACTGACTTGGTTAAGTCCTACAGATTCCAGACATTCTAGCCAACTCTAAAAATGAGGGTCAAATCAGCAAGAATTAAATACTGCATTGCTGACAAGAACCCCAAACTCCTCATTCTCCTTCCATTTATTCCCACTTTCCTCTCAAATGCCACCAAGAAACCCCGCCCAGTGATAAGATCTGTGAATTTTCTCAACCCCCAACATTTCATCCAATGTAGGATTGCAGTCCCTCTTCAGTAAACCCTGCCAACCTCCCAGACTCTTCTTCATACCCCTTCCTCCTATTCATCCCTTGGCCCAGACCTGGAGATAGTACTGAAGATTATCCACCAAGAATGCCATGTGATTTCTTAGGCGCCACTTGACTGCGTCGGTCTGGTTGGACTTGAGGTGCTTGCGCTGCATCTGTAGGGCCCAGCAGTGCTGCAGCTCAGCCTGCACCCGGCGCACGCTCAGTAAGTACTTGAAAACAACATTGTACCTGGGACAGAAACGTCAGGCTCTTCAAGAATACAACTTCACTCCCCACCTCACCTGCATGACACACCCTAGGACTCTGTGCCTGCTACCCGTCCCCCAAAAGGCAGGAAGGAAAGGAGAATGGCTAGAGCCAGGGATGAATTTACTGTGGCTTATTTATATGGTGGAATATTACATAGCTGTCAAAATGAATGCGCTTCAGCTGCACAACCCAAGATGGCTCCTAGCAATAGGATTCTTAATAAAAAAGGTAAATCTCAGATTACATATAGCCTTATATACTTTTTAAATAAGGCTTAATAATAATAAAATAATGTTTAATAGAACAACCAAGTAGGAAAAAAACGTACTTTGAGGGAATATACATAATGTCATAAAACTAAATATTAAAAGGACAGAAAACATGGCTGGGGGAGAGTGGTGACCTAGGGCTGGGGGAGCCAAGGGAGTGAGACTGGGAAAGACCATTATTGTCGGTGTTCCAGTTTCTGTGCTGGGAAGTGGTTTTACGGTGTATGTGTAAGAAGGAAGGAGGGTCTTGCATGGACCAATAATAAAAATGTGTTAGGAAGCAAGGATTTCAGTTAATCTGATCTTCTGTCCTAAAGAAGAGAACTCAATTGAGGGGTCCCTAACTCCTGCGTCACGGCAAGCTCAGGGGCTAGCTGCCTAATGCTGAGCCCCACGCTGAGAACACACATGGGAAGAACAGCTGATTCTTAGTGGAACTGGATATATTTACTTGTTTGTAGGCAGACTTGCAGAAACCAATCTGGGTTTTTAAAATCATCTATTTCTAATGGAACAACATAGTAAAAATAGTACACCTTGTTTGGATTCTGATTTGAACAAACCGAAATATAAAAAGGCATTTTTGGCTAACTGGGAAAATTTCAATCTGTACCAGATATCAGATAAGGACTTATTGTTAATTTTATTGGCTGTGATACTGCATTGTAATTACATTAAAAACATGCCTTTTCTGAATTGCATAGTGATGGAGTGAAACGACATGCCTGGGCTTTGCTGCATAAGGCTCTAGCGAAAACAAGAGGGAACAATCAGCATGTTGACGGTTACTGCAGCTGGATAATGTATATGTGGGGGATCATTAGAGTCCATACTTTTGTTTATATTTGGAAATTCTCATAATACAAAGTTTTAAAAAATACATCGGAGATTGATTTATTCCAGGGTGTTCAGAGTGTATCAGGTGAGGACGTAAATGTTCGCCTGTGGGACACTGGGAGCTGTGAAGGCTCACGGACAAGGCCCGTGCAGCTTCCTCAGGTGGGCTGTGGGCTCTACACCTGCCACAGAAATCTCCCTCGACCAGCCTCGTCTTCTCCAGTTCATGCCTAGGCTCTCATACCCTAAGCTTCTCTACCCAAAAAGGTGAGAGGATTGTGAACAGGAGCAGAGAGATGAAGAGAGGCCCTTTTGTTCATTTATTTCCCTTTCCTCCATTCCTCTAGCCAGAGCACAACGGCTGCCGTCCTCCAACCACGGCAGGGGCCAGCACAGGATTTGAGAGATTCATAAATGGTGTGGGGACGGATTCCACAGGCGACCACTAGCCAAGCACGCTTTTCCAGCCTCCCTTCCCCTAGAGCTCTGCTTCCTTCGCTTGGGGACATGAGGTTCTGACGGAGCAAAAGCACCTGGCAGGCCCTCAGGATAAAGAACAAAGCTGATCCAAGAGCCTCTTACTACGTTGGTCCCGCTCCTGTATTTCACTCCAGCTTAGCCATCCCCACCGTCTCTCCCTGGGTAAGAAGGTGATTTCTCTGCAGTGGCTCAAGTCCACAGCAAACACTCGGGCTTAGAAAGTCTTCCCAGGTAGATCAACACAAGATTACAAAAGTTTTAGGGAGGAAACTTGCTAGCCTGATGGAATTACCCACAGCCAGCTTCTCCATGTGGCGCCCAAGACTGCACCTTCCAGAGGCCACAGACTCGCAGGCTGTAAACTGCTGACTTTGCAACTTCAAAAATGACAACAGGGGTGCCTCTGTGACTCTGGATCTCAGGGCTGTAATTTCAAGCCCCACTTTGGGTATAGAGATTGCTTAAAAAATAAAAGCCATTTTTAACAAAAATGCACACAACCACCACCACCACACTGTTGATTCGAGGGTTTGACCCTCCTGTTCGTCCCAGCACCCAGCACCCAGCACCCCCCACAGCCTCGTGTCCACAGCTTCACTTGCTAAGGTTTTCTGTCCAGTCCACGAAGGCATCTGAGTTTGCAGCCTCTGATTTACGGACTGTGTACAACCACCAGCTGCGTGGTTGTCTTGCTCCCACCAATTCTATTCCTTGATCATTTCTACCCTTGGAAGTCAGGTCATATTTACCAATGAGAAATTCAGAAATACTCACTTTTCCAGAACAGCAGGGGTGAAGAGAATGTGCAGTGGCCACTGTACTTTGTAGGAGAGACCTAGGGCTGCCCAGCCAGATGCAGGGGCTTCCCGGGGAGAAGTTTCCCGAGAAGGCCCTTCTCTTCCCTGAGCAGCATCTGTTAAGAGAAAAGACACTTTGTTCATCTAGAACCAGGGCTTTGACAAGGTGAGTCACATTCATGAGGTGAGTGCTCACTCAAGCCTGCAGTGTCAGAAGCATATTGGCGACAAAAAGGGGACTTGCAGAAGAAGGCAAGGAAAGTCTATGTGAGATTCTCTTAGGAGGTCTTTCAGATTTTTTTCAGCCTTAAAGTCTGGTGGCTGTAAATAAAAAGAGACCATTCTAGCAGCAGGACAAAAACAAAACCAAAACCATGGCCTGAGCATCCCACTTAGCCTTCTGGACTTCCCTTTCCTCCCGTATAAAATAGGGCCCCAGACAAGGTGACTTCTAAGGTCCAAAATGATATGGTTTCTGTGGAGGTGTGCGGAAGCACTGATGGGAGAACAGATGATGAACCAGGAGGAGCAGAAAGATGCAAGAAACAATGGCAAACCTTTATGCTCCTTTCCGTGATACTCGATTGTCAAGTGCAGCAGAGGGAGAAGGTTGTCATCGTCCAGTAGGACCTTGTGTGCGGACTGCTGGAAGGCCACATTCACATCTGCAAGAAGGAGCACATGGGCTGACAAGAACATTAGGCTACATGACAGACCCAGATACTGCTGGCTTTCCACTTCTGCTCCAGCCTGCCTGATGCTAACCATAGGACGCTGTGGAGATGGGCTGCTTTTGCCTGCCTCGCATGCATTCCTCCTTCTCTTGCTGATAATAGCACCCAATTTTCCTTGGAGAATTATCCCTCCCAGTATTATCCAAGTGGTTCAGTGGGGTTGACAATACCTGATGCTAGGGGTAGGTAAGTGACCCAGGCATGCTCAAATGGAATATAATACTCTGCCTTGTTACACTGTTTTGTTTAGGGACATGAACATGACTCAAGCCAGGCCAATCCAGAGGCTCTATTCAGAGTAGAGCCTTTTTTTTTTTTTAGATAAACAGGGACTTAGTGGGATGTGAGCTTGGATGGAGGCCATCTTGCTACCATATGGAGCAGGCCTGTCTGAGAAAGAAGGCAGAGGTGAAAGATAGAATGACACCAAGTCCTGAAGGCGTCATGTGAGCCACCAGATCAGACTTTGCCTAAAGCCTTCATCCTCTGACCTTTTCAGTTATCAGAATCAATACATTTTTCTTCCCCTTTGCATGAGTTTGAATTGGGTTTTCTCATATCTGCAATGAGAAAAGTCTTACGCGAGTATAGTGGCCATCAATTGTTTTATAGAGTAGGAAGAAAGGTAACCCTGTTGGTTTCCCCCCATTTTCTTTTTTTGATTCTAATCCTTTCCTGACTCTCCTCATGTAGTTTGGTTTTTGCTTGTTTGTTTTAAAGATTTTATTTGAGACAGAGAGAGCACAAGCAGGAAGGAGGGTCAGAGGGAGAGGGAGAAGCAGACTCCACTGGGCAGGGAGCCTGATGCGGGGCTTGATCCCAGGACCCTGAGATCACGACCCGAGCCAAAGGCAGACGCCCAACCGACTGAGCCACCCAGGTGCCCTCTCCTCATGTAGTTTGAATGGGAATGGTGATCATTCCCATTAGTCATGGGTGAACACTTTACTGAAGTAGGCGTATCTTAATGTCTGACATCTTTCATGCGGGGGTATGTATATGATCTGGACAGGGCTAATGAAAACCCTTTCTTGGAATCTTTTAAAATTTGCTACCAGAGAGATTGGATTTGGCTCTTCTAGTAGACACTGTGAGGTGGTTCCTGGAAACTGTTGCTGGCCATGTTTCCAAATGGGCCTGGAAGGCCATGAGAGAGCATGGAAGAGGCACAGACAAGATAAGGTAAGAAAGAGAATTCTAGCAATATTCAAGTCCTAGTTTCAGTTGTTCTGAAGTCCGGCTATACTCCTATCCCACTGGAGTTACAGATAAAATAGCAAATAAATTCCCCTTTTCTACCTAGGTTAGTTCAGGTTAGGTTTCCATCATTCACAACCTAAAGAATTCAAATACAAGTGGCAATAAATAGCGATATGTCCCATAAGGAAATAAGCTGATAAAACACCTGATTTACACCCACTCTTCCAGGAAGGATCAAGAGGCTACTCCCAATGACCTCAGTGTGCAGCCCACCTGATGGGCCTTCCATCTTTGGAAAACACTGCTCTCTAACTCACCAGGCTGCTCTTACGTGGAACAGACTGAACGGTTCAGCAGCTATCAAGAAACACCCTACAACATCAGTCAACTGGTAATTCTCAGGCCCACAGGGCAATTACCATGTTCAGTTACTGCAGTGGGTGGTGTTTTTAACATGTGTTGAGCTGTGTCAATGAAGGCCTGAAACAGTTCTCCACGTCCCAGAAGGTAAAAATCTTTAATGATCTGCGGAAAGAATTTCAATTTACAATTCAGTATCTAGCAGGGCCAGGAGCTCCTCATTGTCATCATTATACATGAAGTTTCTAATCTCATCAGTGTGAGCCCAGCCTACAAAAGGATACAGGCTTTGGGCATTTCACATGGGCATACTTTGCAACTCCTCAAGGCAGGACAACTGGTATGTCTTTAGTGTCATTTATTCATTGGCAACACAAGTCTGTTCTCCCAGAAGAAAGTAAACACCCAAACCTTTATGCTATAGTACATGTGTAATATTAGGGAGAGTTTGCCCTCCTGGATGAAAACATGTGAGGCCACTCTGGAAGTCTGGATACAGGCAACCAATGCTCTCAGGAGAGCCTAGAGAATAAAGTCACTGCCCACCAGCATCATTTTAAGAATTAAAAGACAGCTAAGCTGTTACCTTCAGCTGACCCAGTAAATCTGATTCTTCCACCATCAGCTTCCAGAGATGCTGTGAAAAGAACAAAACAGGGACAAAATTTCATTCCAAAGAAAAGTTCTATCAAGAATGGTTTTGTACAAATTCAGCAATATATTGAAAACAGAATATATGCTATGACCAAGCTGAGTTAATCCCAAGAATGAAGGGATAGTTTAAAGTTAAAAAAAAAAAAAAGAAATGGAAATGTTCTGGAATTAGATGGTGGTGATGGTTGCACAACACTCTATATACTAAAAACCACTGAGTTGTACACTATTTTTTTTAAAGATTTTATTTATTTGACAGAGAGAGAGAGAGAGAGCACAAGCAGGGGGAGCAGCAGAGGGAGAGGGAGAAGCAGATTCCCCGCTGAGCTGGGAGCCCAACGTGGGGCTCGATCCCAGGACCCTGGGATCATGATCTGGGCTGAAGGCAGACGCTTAACTGACTGAGCCACCCAGGTGTCCCATAAATAAAATCTTTAAAAAAAAGGGGGGGGGGCTGCCTGGGTGGCTCAATCGGTTAAGCATCTGCCTTCGGCTCAGGTCATGATCCCAGGGTCCTGGGATCGAGCCCTGAATCAGGCTCCTTGCTCAGTGGGGAGTCTGCTTCTCCCTCTGCCTCTCCCGCTCATGCTCCCTCTATTTATCAAATAAATAAAATCTTAAAAAAAGAAAAAAGCTTCTGCACATAAGAAGAAACAACAAATTTAAAAGACAACCTCCAGAATGGGAGAAAATATGTGCAAACCACATATCTGATAAGGAATATCTGAAATATATAAAGAAGTCCTACAACTCAATAACAACAACAAAACACAAACAATCCAATTAAAAAATGGGCAGAGGAACTAAACACATATTTTTCTGAAGAAGACATACAGATGGCCAACAGGTACATGAAAAGATGCCCAATATCATTAGCCATCAGGGAAATGCGAATCAAGACCACAATGAGCTATCATTTCACACCTATTAGAATGGTTATCATCAAGAAGAGGTAACAAGTTGTTGGCAAGGATGTGGAACTGTTGGTAGGAATGTAAATTGGTTCAGCCACTATGGAAAACAGTACGGAGGTTCCTGAAAAATTAAAAATTGAACTACCATATGATTCAGAATTATTCTTCTGGGTATATACACAAAGGAAATGAAACAGAATTATCAAAGAGATATGTACACTCCCACGTTTACTGCAGCATTATTCACAATAGCCAAGATATGGAAACAACTAAGTGTCCATGATGGATGAACAGATAAAGATGTGATATATAATGAAATACATATATTTCAGTCATGAAAAAAAAGGAAATTCTGCCACTTGTGACAACATGGATGGACCTTGAGCATATTATACTGAGATACATCAGAGAAAGAAATACTGCATGATATCATTTATATGTGGAGTCCAAAAAAGCCAAACTCATAAAAACAAAGAGTAAAATGGTGGTTACCAGGGACTGCGGGGTAGGGGGATAAGGAGATGTTTTTTAAGGGTACGAACTTGCAACCAGTAGGTAAGTGAGTCCTGGAGATCTAAGTCATGGTATAGTGAATATGGACAGCAAAGTTGTACTATAATCAAATTTGCTAAGAGACTAGATCTTAATTATTCCCACCACAAAAAAGAAATGATAGTTATGTGCTATAATAGAGGTGCTAACTATCCCTACAATGAAAATCTTATTAGAATACATAAATGTATCAAATCAACATGCTGTATGTAATACCTTAAATTTATACAATGTTATATATCAAATACATTTTGATTAAAAAAAATAAAAGCACATGTATTAACAGTGAAAAATAAATAAAAAATGAAAACACATGTAATAAAGATCCTCAATAAAAGATCAATAAAGATCCTCAATAAGACAAAGTTTAAAAAAAATATGTTCAGGATACTTTGAGAAGAGTTATTTCAGGGAATGGGTGTGCTAGCTCGTCTATGATGCATTTAGAGAAGTGTTTATAAACACTTGTAATAACGGTATTTATAAAAGTGGTACTTAATTGCTATGAAAGGAGTGCTCAAGTACAGGGATATGTTTACCATTCAGCAATGCATTTAGAGAAATGTTTAAAATAATATTAATGATGGTTATAGGAACATTTTGTGTAAGCTTAAAAAAAGGAATAAACTATTGATACATGCAACATGGATTGATCTCAAAATAATCATGAGGAAAAGCAGCCTGACCCATCTCCTCCCCCAAAAGAGTACATACTGTTTGACTCCATATATATAGATTCTAGAAAATGCAAACTAATCTCTAGTGACAGAAAGCAGATCAGTGGTTGCTTGGGGGCAGGGAGGTAAAAAGCGTTGAAAATAAAGGATGGAAGAAGATCTGAGGTAAATAATGACCTGGAAGAGAGGTGGGTAATGATCTTAACTAAGAAAATAGATTTTAAGAAAAAAAAAAAAAAAAAATTTAAATATATATTATATAGAAATAAATATATATCATAAGTGATAAGACATTATATATACATAAAAGGAAAAACAAATATATATTCATTACAAACATGCACATGCCTAACAGCTTGGAAATGAGATATTAGAACATGCACAGAACTCTAGACACAGAATCTATACTCTCTGAGCACAGGTAGAACTAAAAAACAAGAAACAGGCCCTACATTAATCCATAATGGAAGCCTCAATCAACTCCAAAGGACCTATCTACAGACTGTGTTTTCCAACTATACTGCAATAAAAATTAAAAATAAATCCCTGGGGTTAAAAAGAAAACCAGAAAGAAAATAAAAAATTATTTAAGAACAGGATGATAATATATATACTCCATGCCAAAAACTTGTGGGACAAGTTCAAAGCAATATGTTAAGTTTTATATATATTTCCTAGGAAGCAAGGGTTACAAATAGAAAAGTCAAGTTTTCAATCCAGGAAACTGGCAAAGAGTAACAGAAAACTCAAAGAAACAAGAAGAAAAATAATAAAGGCAGATATCAATAAGATAAAGAAAAAATAGGGTAATAAAAACACAAGCCGGTTCTTCGAAAAGATTAGTAAGATTCAACACTGAAAGGTTAAAATAAAATACAAAGTAAAACAAATAGCTACAGATTTTCTAAAAAACTAAATCTAGATGAAATGGGCCTTCCTAGAAAAGTAGAAAATACCAAAATTGGTACAAGAAATAAAGGTCTTGAACAGACTAACGTAGGTTTAAATACACTGAATTGGTAAAGATTTTCCTCCCCCCCCTTTTTTAAATATTTATTTATTTATTTGAGAGAGAGAGAGAGAGGACACATGTGGGCAAAGGGGCAGAGGGAAAGGGAATAGAAATCCTCAAGCAGACTCCCTGATGAGCGTGGAGCCCCATGTGGGGCTCTATCCCCAGACCCTGAGATCATGGCCTGAAACAAAACCAAGAGTCAGATGCTTAATCGACTGAGCCACCCAGGCTCTCCCAAGATCTCCCCTTCTTAAACCTAGCTTAGATAAATTTTCAGGTAAATTCAATGAAACTTCCAGTAACAACTATCTTATATTAATTATTCTAGAAAAAACAAAAGTGATAGATACCTAGCTCATTTTATGAGGCTTATACAGTCTTTTTCTGCAACCACATGGGAATAAAACCAGAATCGTCTAATTTCACTAGTAAATGTAGATGCAAAAATTCCAAGTATTATACTGGCTAACCAAATCCAACAGTGTATTAAAAAATACAACCTTGGGTGCCTGGGTGGCTCAGTTGGTTGAGCGACTGCCTTCGGCTCAGGTCATGATCCTGGGGTCCTGGGATCGAGTCCCGCGTTGGGCTCCCTGCTCAGCAGGGAGTCTGCTTCTCCCTCTGACCTTCCTCCATCTCATGCTCTCTCTCTACCATTCTCTCTCTCTCTCAGTAAATAAATAAAAATCTTAAAAAAAAAATACAACCTCGTGTTTTCAAGTACAGTTTATCTCAGGAAGATTCAACAACTGAAAATCTAACCGGGAATTTACCCACCCTATGAGTAGACTGAAGGAGAGAAAGAACCCAGAGCAAGAAACTGCACCACCATCGATATAGAAAAAGCAGTTGATAAAATTCAACATCTATTTATGATAAAAACGCATAGCAAACTAGAAAGAAGATAACTTTTTTAACCTGATAAACTTATGTTGCCAAAAGCCTACAGCAAACATTAGAGTAATAGAGAAACTGTCAATGCAAGATCTTTAAGAGCCAACAAAGCAAAAATGCCCACTATCGCCTCCAGTGGTTAACACGGTTTATATCAACTATCACTCCAGCTGTTTAATGTAGTATTAGAGATCCAAGACTGTAAGAAAAAAAAAAAGTCGTCTAAAATTGGAAGTTGTAAAACTCATTATTTCCAAATGATATGATCATTACTTAGAAAAATCAACAGAATCAACAAACTATTAGAACTAAAAAAAAAAGGGGCGCCTGTGTGGCTCAGTCGTTAAGCGTCTGCTGTCGGCTCAGGTCATGATCCCAGGGTCCTGGGATCGAGCCCCGCATTGGGCTCCCTGCTCAGTGGGGAGTCTGCTTCTCCCTCTCCCACTCCCCCTGCTTGTGTTCCTGCTCTCGCTATCTCTCCCTCTGTCAAATAAATAAATAAAATATATTTAAAAAAAGATTAACCCACAAAAATTAATACTGCCATTTCTCTACATAAAAACAGTAACCAACTAAAAAAAAATCAAAATAACAAATATCTAGGAATTAATTTTCAAAATCTTTTAAGTACTAAAAAATATACAGAAAAGTACACAAATAGTAAGTTTACAGCTTGGAGAATTTTCACAAATTGAATACACCTGTATAACCAGCACCTTGAAAGCCTTCTTCCTGTCCTTCCCATTGACTAAGGTCAAATACTCTTCTGACATCTAACACCAGATTAGTTCTGCATTTGAACTTTTTTTTTTTTTTGGAGAGAGAGAGACAGTCAGGTGGGGAAGGGTTTAAGGGAGAGGGAGAGAAAGAATCTTAAGCAAGCTCCATGCCCAGCTCAGAGCCCAATTAGGGCTCAATCTCATGACACTGAGATCACGACCTGAGCTGAAATCAAGAGGTAGATGCTTAACTGACTGAGCCACCCAGGTGCCCCTGCGTTTGAACTTTTATATTAAACTTTATATTAACTGTTTTTGAACTTTATATAAATTCATATAGTATGTATACTTAAATAAAGAGAAAACCAAAAGGGGAGGAGTATGATGTATTTCTAAGACACTCCCCACCTTTTTCCTTCTGAAAAGTAAACTCTATTTTCATTACTAGAAATTGTTATTTTAAGAGAATACCTTAAAAAAAAAAGAGAGAATACCTTTAAAAAAGGCCTATTAACTACAATTGTAAAAAACTTCAATGAGTCTGAACTTCCATTCTTCATCTATCATTTTTACAAACTGGAAATGTAATTTCTACCAATATCCATATTTCAGAATTTCACAAGAAAAACAAATTTGAAATCTTGTATTCATTCAATAAGATTTTTACTTTCCTCCATGAATTAACTTCAGAGTTATCACAAGAATAATAAAAGAACAGAAACAGATTTAATAAAATAAGATGAAAGGACCTCAAGACACCAGCCCCATTGACAAGGGCTACCTTGGCTATAGGCACAGGGGCAGGATCTTGAAATTATGACAGGACAAAAGCATGTATTCTAGAGAGTATAAATATTTACTTGCCCATAAAGAATCAAATGAAGTGAAACCTAAATGTCACCTTATGATCTAATATTCTGTCTCCATTATAGCTATCTGCCATGCCTACAATTTTTGAGACAGTGACTGGAAAAGGAAATCATATTCACAATAGATTACCATACTTCCATTGTGAGGATATCTGATGCTAAGCTTCCTAGCAGTTCTAGATCCTGCAGTGCACTGGGTATGCTTCAAAATCACCTGCAGTGGTTGGTTTGTTGGTTGTCTAGTCGGATGGTATAAATACAAGTACTTACTCCCTCCCTCCCGATGTAGATCTACCAGTCAGCAGCTCTGGAGGTGAGGACTTATACAGGTGGCATGTTTTAAGATTTTCCGAAGCAATGCTATGCACAGCCGAAGTTGAACCACTAATATAGTAAACAAAACAGCTGACTAAACTAAAAATCTCATCTCACATTATCAGACACCTGTGAGCCAAATTTTATTTTAAGCCACAGCACAGACACACATCTGAAAAATCACTGGTCACAATCTAAGTTGGTGGATGTAGCACAATTCACTTAAGAACACTGAACTAGGGGGCGCCTGCGTCAGTTAAGCCTCTGACTCTTGATTTTGGCTCAGGTCATGATCTCAAAGGTCCTGGGACTGAGCCCCACATCAGGCTCCCTGCTCAGTGGGGAGTCTGCTTATCTTCCTCTCCCTCCATCTGTCCCCCTGCTCGTGCTCACTCTCTCTCTCTCTCTCAAGTAAATAAAGCTCTGAAAAAAAAAAAAAAGAACACTGAACTAGGAGTTATAAGACCTGCTTCTGACGTCACCTTTGTTACTTACTGTGCAACACCAGCCAAATTAGCTATTTTATTCATTTGTAAAAAATGGAAAAATAATACTTGTTCTGTGTTCCTCATAGGGTTATTATACTCATAAATGAAAAAGTAATAAAGCCATCTAAAATATAAGCAAGGTGCTAAATTTAGTCAGAATCTGTTGATTCCTTGCAATTATTGCCAACTACACTGACAGATTCAAAATGCTGACTGAATTTGACAGTGAGACCTCCCTTTGTTCAAGTAAGTAGCTAGCTAGCAAACTCCTGTCAGGTGTGACGACTAAAGCAGTTCCACCTCTATTATCAAAAACTTCTTGCCCTTTGACTCTCACAATTCCCTCCAAGCTAAGTTCTAACCACATCAAGATGCAACAGAAGTCAAGTACTCAATTTCTGGGGAACTAGTCTGTTTTCTTGCTAAGAAAGCCTACTGTGACATACAAACCTCGGCCACGGTACTGCGAATACGATCCACCACCTGCTCGAAATCCACGAGGCTGAAGAGCGGCTGCTGTTTGAGCCGATGCAGCTCTGCAGCAAAAGTGTCCTCCTGGTTCTTCAAAATGGATCCTGCAAAACAGGCAGGCACCATCAAAGGAAGAGCAGAGCAGGACAGGCAAGGATTTCTAGTCCCCGTGGTGCAGCTCCTTCCCCTGCTTCTCACATAAGCGTGTCATGGTTGTGCTGCAATCTGGGTGCATCAATCTTATTAGCCACTCCCTTGGACCAGGCGTACACTGGGGCCACGAGATATTAAAAAGGGCCTTTGAAGACAGGGCACACTGGGCAAGGAGGTTCTCACCTTTCCTGGTCAGGTTTACATTTTGATTCTCAAACATCTGGACAGATTCTCCGACAAACAGAATTTTTTCAGCAACCCTCACTGGAATGTAGGATGGCAAAATCTCCACTCGTAAGGAAAACTGCTTTAGAGACGGTGCCAGCATGTTCTCTTCCTCTATCAGGCGCTACTCAAGGAAATAATCTGCATCAGACATGATGTATGAAGGAAGAAGCAGAAAGCAAAAAACATCACTAATTCTCCCAACCCATGATTTATATTTTCTAGAGGCAGGGACTTTACTTTTTTAAAAATTTATTTATTATAGAAAGAGAGAGCGCGTGCAGGTGGGGGAGGAGGAGAGGTCAACAGAGAGAATCTCAAGCAGACTCCATGCTGAGCGCAGAGCTGTACATGGGCTGTACATGGTGCTTGATCTCATCACCTGAGATCACAACCTGAGCCGAAATCAGGAGTTGGATGCTTAAGCAATTGAGCCACTCGGGCACCCTGAAGTAGGGACTTTAAACCTGAAGTTGCACAATGCCTAAATTACCAGTGTCAGAGAGATGAACATATTTCCATTTTCAGACAGCAGGACAGCATGGTGGAAATAACAGTGTTGTGAGGTTGTTTTTTTTTTAATAACTTAACAATAACCCACAACCCTCGGACCAACTGAGGTTTTTTTTTTTTTTTAACATTAGGATTTTAGTCCTCACTCTGCCTTTACTATGTAAGAATTTGTGCAGTAGATCAGGAACCCGGTTTCCTTACCTGTAGCATGGAAGAATTAGTCTTTACTTTTTCCAGGTCTACAGGTCTGTGACTTTATTATCTCATCATATATGCTGGCTCTGCCCAGCTCTTTACTAGTACATAGCCCGAGTCATTTAGCCAAGTGGTTCTCAGTGTGGCTCGTGGACCAGCAGCATCAGCCTCACTTGGAAGCTTGTGAGAAATGCAAATTTTCAAGCCGCTCCCCAGATCTAGGACAACCTGAGAGATGAGGCCCAGACATCCATCCGTGTCTTAACAAGCTCTTCAGCTGATTCTGACACACATGGAAGTTTGAGAACCACTGAACTGGCCCATGATGCCCCAGATGCCCACCACCCAATCACTCAGGCCCTCACATTTCTCCAACTTGCTTTGGATTTAACCCTTATCGTCCAGCTCCGACCAGGAACTCTGGGCTCCACAATCCTAACTCTGAGCTCTGCTGTTCACACTTTCTGTTTTGTGCTCTAGTGCAGGTGGTCCTCAGGGCAATACCCAGACCCTCACTTCTTCTCCCTCTCCTCACTCTTCTTAAACAATGATATCTTCTTCCATCACTGAATTGACCATTGTAACAGGTGTTTTAAATCTTTTTATATCACAGGACTCTCTGCCATTATATAAAAGCTATGGACCTTCCAGACAAATATACAAACATACATTTCACAGAACCTCCTGAAGCCACCCATGGGCCCCAGGTTAAAAACTGCTATATGCTGGCGCCTGGGTGGCTCAGATGGTTAAACGTCTGCCTTCGGCTCAGGTCACAATCCCAGAGTCCTGGGATCGAGTCCCGCATCGGGCTCCCTGCTCCTTGGGAGCCTGCTTCTCCCTCTGCCTCTCTCTCTCTCTCTCTCTCTCTCTCTGTCTCTCATGAATAAATAAATAAAATCTTTAAAAAAAATAAAAACAACAAAAGAAACAAAACTGCTATATGCTGATGACTCCTTAAACTTTACCTTCAAGCTAGACTGTTCTTGTGAGCTATAAGTTCAACCCACTGGACATTTCTTGCAAGTACCTCAAACTCAACATGTCCAAAATTAATTTTTTTTTTAAGTTGTAGACTCCACACCCAGTGTGGAGCCCAATGCAGGGTTTAAACTTACGACCCTGAGGTCAAGACCTCAGCTGATATCAAGAATCAGACGTTTAACCCCTCAAACAGGTCCAAAATTAGATCCATCTTCTTTCTCCCAATACCTGCCATACACATTCCATATCATTTCTACCTGCCTAGCCGCTGAAGGCAGAAACTTGGGTTACATTCTTGATTCTTCCCTCTGGACTCCTATCTAATCACTAAGGCCTACCTAGTCCATGTACTAAATCTCTCTCAAGCCACTCTATTCTTCTGCATATTTACTGTCACCACCCTTGGTTTAGGCCACCATTATTTTTCACCTAAGTGTCCCCAACATTCTCTTGACTGACCTACGTGCTGCTAGTCTTAGTTCTTTTAAAAACAATTTCCCCACACATTATCCAGAGTCATCTATTGTGAAGTCTGATTGTGTGAACCTCTTGCCTAAAATTCTTCACTGGCTCTAAGCTCTTTTGAGGTTCAAGTCCAAGTTCCTTCCCATTGTTTACAAGGGCTTTCATGATCTTACCTCAATAGTTCCACTGGTTGCGATTTCCCAATCCCCTCCACTGTCCTTGCACTTTGTATTTCAGCCCTTACTTGACCATTTCAACTGAATTACTACCTCAAGTAAGCCATGTCTTTCATGGTTTCTGTACTTTGTACACATCCTTCCCCCTGCCTGGAACATTTCTTGACCTCTCCTCCTAAACTCTTTGCAATTTAGATGTACATTCCACTGAAAAGCTTCTCTAGCTACTCTAAAACCAAGTTCTGAGAACACCCATACTTACTAATGTCACTGTTGACTTTTCTACATTTTCCATTAAACAATAAGTTCTTTAAGGACAGGGTCTGCTACACTTTATTCATCTACTTCAGTTAAGCACCCAGTAACTCTCCTAGAACAGTGCCTGGCATATATGTAACAGGTGTTCAAGAAGATGTTGTAGCAGGACAAATGAATGAATAAATGGATCAATGGATGAATAAAGACAATACAGGGCTTTGGGGACTCTAAACTCCAAGCTACATTTAAAAGTTATAGGGTAGCTACATGGCTACCTTAAGAGACAAGACTTATTAATCTCATAAATGCATATACTGGGAAAAGGGGAAACAAAGGACTCCCACAAATATATTTTCTATTTCGTAGTCTCACATTAAGTTAGGCATTAAGAATGCAGCTAAGATAAAACCAAGTTCAAGTGTTTATATCTGCAGAATTTGTGAAAGATGCTTCAACTATGACGAGCTGGGAACTGGGGTGGAAATCACTAAGAGGTCAACGAGCTAGACTTTCCTATCTCCTGGCAGGAGTATGCTAGGCTTTCTGCTATGCTCTCACCAAGTCCTGGAGTTCTCTCAACTGTTTTCCTGTCAGTCCCCCAATGCCCAGATCCTCCTCATCCTCTTCTGGCTGGGCACTGACATTACCAGAAGAGGGACCCTGTTTGATAAAGAACTCTTCGTGCTGGTCCAGGAGGAGTCCATGTAGCATCCAGGCTGAGAGCTGCTTATACATGACCCCATGACACACGGCCAGGATCCTGAGTGGAGAGAAAAGTAGGAGAGCTTTAGAAGTCCACTTAACGAACATTAAACCCCATATGGGCACAGAGGCCATGCTCTCAACTGTGACAGGATAAATAGAGGCCTGAGTCTCATGACTCAGAAGGGAAATGACCAATTAGGCTAAAAATAATTGTGCTATTTTAATTTAAATGTTTGTGAATGAACTAAATGATTAAATTTCCAAACTTGTAGGCTACATACTGAAGTCTAAATGCTCTGTAAACGTTCTGCTAGTTTTTTAGAAGAGGCACATTTTCTTTCCTCCTTTCGTGTAAAGTGAGTTTCAAAACTGAGGGTTCTTGTTAAACTTAAATGTGCTTCTAGGAGTCTTTTTGGCTAACACAGTATTAAATTTGTTTTGTTTTTGTTGGAATCACATAGGGAGAGTAGATTCACTGAGAGAGGTATACCTGAAGAAGTATAATCCAACAAAATGCAGAAAGGTCGTTGGAGAATGTGATACTTTCATGGTTTCAAAGGATCACTTCCCAGATAACATCAATTACAAACAGGAAAATGTGCCTTTAAAATGGAGCGATCTGACAGAAAACACCTAAGCCAAGTGATCAAGCTTTTACACCACCAATAATGGAACACACTTACTTTCTGTGCCTTCCAATGTGATGCAACAAATAATACAGCCTATGGTATGTAGTATTCTTGCCAAAAATGTTTAACGTAAATCTAATTACCAGGAATTAATAAAAAAAATCCAGGTCGTGTAACAGTTTACAAGACAACTGGTCAAGACTCTTAACATGTCATTTGTCATCAAAGATTAAAAAGGCAAAGAAGGGCACTGTTCCAAATTAAGGGGACTCAAAAGAGGTGACTGTTAAATGCCACATGAGAATTCGGACTGCATCCGGGAGTGCAAAAAAGAACAACGGAAAAGGACTTCTGGGGGACAACTGGAAAAATTCAGATTTATTTTAGATAATATACTATTGAATTGATGTTAACTTTTTTGGGTGTAATATGGTATTGGACTTCTGGGGGACAACTGGAGAAATTCAGATTTATTTTGGATAATATACTATTGAATTAATGTTAACTTTTTTGGGTGTAATATGGTATTGAAGTTATATAAGAGAATTGAGGTTATATAAGCCTTTTTTCTTTTTTTAATGGGAATTATGTTTTATAAAGATTTTATTTATTTGACAGAGAGAGACACAGCAAGAGAGGGAACACAAGCAGGGGGAGTGGGAGAGGGAGAAGCAGGCTTCCCGCGAAGCAGGGAGCCCGATGAGGGGCTCGATCCCAGGACCCTGGGATCATGACCTGAGCTGAAGGCAGACGCTTAACGACTGAGCCACCCAGGCGCCCCCCCATAAGCCTTTTTTCTAAAGAGCTACAAAACTGAAGTCTTTGGCAGTTAAGCCTTTCAAATGATTCAGCAAAAAAAAATGTAGTGTGCGTGTGTGTATATTTATATATATTTACATGTACATATTTCATAGTCCATATAAGAGGGGAAAAAGAAAAATGTGGTCAAATATTAAAAAAAATCAAATGGGGGGCCGTTTACATTTTGCACATTTGAGTATTTGGTCTATAAAGTTTGGTCCCCGCAAATATATAACAAACATGCACTTACCATATGATCTATGTAAGATTTTATATTCCATGCATAAAATTGTGTATATTTATATAGAAAGAAATATACAGCAAAAGTTAAATTGTGTATTTCAAAGTTAGAAAATATTTCTATTTCTTCTCTTTGCAGGTCTGTATTTTCTACAATCAAAATGCAGTTCTTTTATTAGGAAAAAAAAAAAAAGCCCAGTAATAGAGAATTAAGTTCCTTAAGTATGTTCTGGAAAGTTTCTTTTTGTGGATTCTAACAGTATTTATATTTATAGTATTTTTAATTTTACATTTATAGACTATCAAGTGAATACACCTGTATTTAGCTTTCTTCCACTGCTGGTAATTTTCTAATTTCCTGATATAACAGACAATACTGCAATGAATGTTTCTGCATATGGTTATTTTCTTCTTTCAAATAACTGTTGGGATAAAATTCCTAAGAGTGGCATTATGGGATTATAGAGTATAAACATTTTTAAGGCCCTTGATATGAAACACCAGCTACTCAAAATACACATGATTAGATACAGCTACTTTATTCGGCACGTGTAATGGAAATTCTCCAAGGATAATGAGATCCCCAAATTAAAAAGCATTGCTTCAAGGTTATCTAGGCGACTACATCCTAGCTTTGATCCTCAACACTTCATAACACTCTTTTTGCAGTTTCTGAGCTATCATACATGCGGGCTTTTATGGATCTCTTCTATCCTGGTCATAACTTTTCCCAGAGGGAAATCTGAGATGAGCTGAAAATAAAACAAGTGCAAAGTCAAGTCACTTGATCACCCACCCCTGCCCCCAATTCCCAATTAAGCCATGACTTACTTTTCTAGTGCACTGCGAACAGGAGGCAAACCTCCACAGCTGTGTTTGTATACCGTTTCCAGGATTTGACAACCATGAATCTGCGCAAAATATGGCCTTGTCAAACTTGATTCCATTTTAATAGTTCAGGTAGCACAAACTCATATTCTATATTCAATTCAGAGGGCACAATCCAGCGGATGATGGGGATAAAGATCTATGTATAGTTCTGATTCTGACTCCATTTCCAATGTGTTTGGGGGGCAGTTTCCCCCACAACACCAAGCAATTCTCAAACAGCAGCTGGGTGTCCTACAAGTCAACTCAATTCTGACACTACCTACCCAGAATATCATCAGATTCTACAAGTTAAGGGGTCAGTCCCACAAGACTGTCCTCTGCTTCTGACACCAATCTCAAGCCCAGGACTGACTGGCTGATATATCAGAAGTTCCCATGACCCTCTCCTTGGATTCCATTAATTTGCTAACGCAGCTCACAGAACTCAGAAAACCCTTTTACTCACTAGATTACCTGTATTAAAAAGCATACTAAAGATATGAATCAACAGTCAGATGAAGAGATGCATAGTGTGAGGTCCCAAACAAAGGAGCTTCTGTCCCCATGGAGTGTGGGCCTAGCAGTGTAGCTCAAAGAAGTATTCTGGTTCATCAACCTACAAGTTCTCTGAAAGCAGTCCTTCTGGGGTTTTATGGAGGCTTCACTACACACGCACAAGTGATTAAATCACTGGCTACTGGCAACTGAACTCAATCTCTAGCCCCTTTCTCCTCCCCAGAGGTCAGGGGTATGAAAGTCTCAATTCTCCAATTAAATGGTCGGTTCTCCTGGCAACCAGCCCATCCTGAGGTGCTTTCCAAAAGTCACTTCATTAACATAGACTCAGGTGTGGTTGATAGGGGTTTGTTATGACTATCAAGACACCTTTATCATTATTACTTATGAAATTCCAAGAGTTTTAGAAGCTCTGTGTCAGAAAGGGGATAAAGACCAAAAATATATTTCTTATTATAGATCACGATATCACAATAGTTCTCAAAAGTATGACCTTCAACCCTCCTTACTCCTCTCCACCCCACCGGTATCCCACCACCAGCAGCAGCAGCAGCACCTGGGAGTGTGTAAGAAATGCAAATTGTTGGGCCCAACTCCAGCCTTACTGAATCAGCATCTCTGGGGTAGGGCCCAGCCACGTGGTTTTAACATTCCGCTCCAAGTGATTCTAATGTACGACGAAGTTTGAGAACTACTGCGCTAGAGAAACCAGAATCATTTAGAGTTGAAATTCCAAGCTAAGAGGTAAAGAAAGCTCTTTATTTCAGATTAAGGCCTAATTCAAACTATTTATAAGGCATACAGTTTTCCAAAAATCTGTTTCCTCCTTCTATGTCCTTCAGGCTCTCTCTTTTTTAAAACTGCTTTACTGAGGTATAATTTATATACTATAAAATTCATCCATTTTAAGTATACTGTTCAACAATTTTTAGTAAATTTACAGTGTTGTGCAACCATTGCTATAATCTAGTTTTATAACATTTCCATCACTCTAAAAGGATCCCTTTTATCTGTTGGCTATCATCCCTGTTTCCCACCCCCCATGTTCTTGAGACCTCATTTTTTAACTTTCTAGAGCCAGAGCACACTGGCTTCTCTACCACCACCCGGGCAAGGAGGAAAATTTGCCCACCTGCAACCGCTTTACTCAGTTTCTACTCTTCTTCCTGTGGCCAATGGAAACTGAAAGTCAACTGAAATGTGCAGCTAAGCATGGAACCCTTATACTAACTCTACTTACCTAGAAGTTCCCCTCCAATTTGGGGGGACAGTTTAGTAGTGTGGTTAAAAGCATAATCTTTTGAGTCAGACAGACCCAGGTTTAGATCCCAGCTCTACCATCTCCACCTGTGTGACACTAAGCACATTACTTAACCTACCTGACCCCCTAGAGGACTGAAAAGGATCAAGTATGTGAAGCACTTAGCACAGTGCCTGGTATACAGTTAAGTACATAATAAAAGCTGAGTGTTCTCTGATGAGGATAATCAGCTTTGAAGAGCCAAACAGCACCTCCCCTACTGGCTTTGCTGGCTCAGAATAAACTCAGCACAGCAGAAATTTCTATACTTACACAGCACAAAAAATGAAGCAGCAACCTGGCAAATTAACTGGTTAACTAGTTATATTTATCAAGGTAAACACTCCTAATAAGCTAAGGCACAAATATAACAGCTTAAAAACATAAATGAGCTAAACATATTTAATCCATTTGTCCTTTTTCATCCAGTTATGGACTAGCAAAGTCTTCTAATGTGAAATCTCAAAGCATTTTTTCCTTAGTTATTACCTCCGCCCAGAAAAGGCATTCTCCTGGTATTGGGGACCCTCACTTTTCAATGCACATGATAAAAACTTGTGATAAAAACAGGCATATTTAATAAAATAAGCATCTGTGTTTCAGCCAATGATCTAATTCTTAGAAAACTGCCAGCATCCTAATCATAAATCTATTATTCTTTCTAAAGATGAACTTTCCACTTCTCCTCAAGATCCATATCCAACAATTTTTAAGATTTTATTTATTTGAGAGAGAGAGACAGCATGAGCCAGGGGGAGGGGCAAAAGGAGAGGGAGAAGCAGACTCCCCGCTGAGTGGGGAGCATGACATGGGGCTTGATCCCAGGACCCTGAGATCTTGACCTGAGCTGAAGGCAGACGTTTAACTGACTAAGCCACCCAGGCGCCCCCATATCCAAAAATTCGAAATCCTTAGTGTAAAATTCTCTCACCTCCAAATACCATCCATAGCATTTTGCTCTTACCCAGCAGCATTCTGGGGTACATCTATTAACATTACCCCCACCTCTGGATCAGGAGATTCTTAAGGGCAGTCTCGTAACTCATTTTTGCTTTTCTGACATTTAGCATGATACCCAAGCAAATATTTTTGTTTTTTTGTTTTTTTTTTAACCAAGCAAATATTTTTAAAAGAATGAATAAATAAATGACAACTACTAAAAACTAGAGTCTTCAAAAAAGAATGTAAGGCAAAATTAATTATGAATACATCCTTGGTGCTTACCACAGCAAAGGAAAAAAGGAAAGTTCTCACCTTTTGACTTTTAATTTGTTCTACCACAACCATTACAGAGGGAAAAAGGAGCTGGAACTGCAAAGCAGAGAATGATTAGGAGGGTACATAATCAAACACAAGGAAAAAAAATTGACTCAGGAAATGCTTTTGTTTCTAAATAGTCCCACTTAACCCAAAGATGGCAATACCACAGAACAGCCAAGATCCAGTATCCTAAGGCAATTTGATATGGGTTTGGCTGCAGAGAGAGAATGACAGATATAAGCAGTTTCTATTTCTGAGGCTAGCATAATTGTTAACATTGAAGTCAACATAAGAGCATTAATATCAGACATTAGATTTTCACTAAATTTGGAGCTTTCTAAACAGTTCTGATCTCGGAAAGCATACACAATATAAAATGCCGGGCTCTGAATCCAGAAGGAAAAATGTTCTCAAAAATAAGTTAGATTGCTCTTTTAATAGATTTAATTTTAATTTTTAAATTTTTTGGGGGGATTAGGCAGAGGGAGAGAGAGAGAGACAATCCTAAGCAGGCTGCATACCCAGCGCAGAGCCTGATGCAGGGCTTGATCTCACAGACCCTGAGATCACGACCTGAGTCAAAATCAAGAGTCAGATGCTTAACCAAATGAACCACCCAGGTGCCCCCCTTTTTTTAAAATTTCTCATTTTTTTAAAAAGATTTTTTATTTTTAAGTAATCTCTCTACCCAACGTGGGGCTCAAACTCACAACCCTGGTATCAAGAGTCACATACTCCAACTGAGCCAGCTGGGCACCCCTTAAGTTAGATTATTCTAACAATAACAACAGATTCCAAGGCATTTTATTATTTGGGCAGCATACCTGATCCAAGGAGTAATTGACATGTGATATGGAAAGATGGGGGTCAGCCAGGAACTGCAACAAAAAACACTGTGATTAGGGGTCCGTATAAAATACCTTGAATCTATTTGATCTCTGAAAACTAGATGGGAATCTGAGAATGGGCTCCATGTTAGTTTTAGGCTACTGAGAATTGATAGTTTGTAGAGTATTAATTCTGATTTTTCAGGTGACCAAAAAACCCAAAGCTAGGGCTCTGATAAACTCACTCAAGAGCTTTTGCCATGTTCTGCATGCCACTTTGACCGTGATTTGGGCAATCACAGAATATACTGTACCCTTTAGCCTTGCAGAAAATAGCTCTCTCTTAACTACCTGACCACATCAAAGGGTATTTCAAATTCAAGAACATGCCCTAATCGGCTGTCCCAGAGACATCTTTCCTGTATCTCCTCTCTCACCTCTTGTTCCAAATCAAGCAGTGCTTGGCGATAAGGTTGCAAAACCGAATCCAGCCCCGTGCAGAAGGCCCTTAGGTAGATTCCATGTAACCCACCTTGGCCCTGCTGAGATGGATGGTGATCCTGAAATCAAACAAAGAGAACTCAACCTCACAGCTCAGACTCTAAAACCTGAGGAAAACATTCTCCTTTATTAGTGTTATTGTTTTTGCTTAAATGATTCTGTATCAAAGCAGTGCTTCAATGAGAGAAAAACCCAATGAGAGAGACAGATTTTGAATTCTGACCTTTTAAAATGTGGTATTTTAATTTCCCATGCAGCCTAGATGTTACAATCAGGTAGGGGGCACCTGGGTGGCTCAGTTGGTTATGCAGCTGACTCTTGATTTCAGCTCCGGTCATGATCTCAGAGTCATGAGATGGAGCCCCACATTGGGCTCTGCACTGAGCATGGAGCCTCCTTAAGATTCTCTCTCTCTCTCTCTCTCTCTCCCTCTGTCCTTCTCTCTCTCTCTAAAATATACAATGAGGTAGTACCTCATATTGTCAGTGGAAATTTTCTACAACTAACCTTACAACTTTCAGCTTAAATCTCTTTGGTGGCTTCTCATTGCCCCAGAATAATATCTGAACTCCTCTGCATGGCATACAATGACTTCTACATTCGGGCCTTAACTATCTCTCTAAAATTATCTTTTACTGCTTCCAACTTCACATTCTCATTTCCAAACTACCCACAGTTCGCCAAATGTGCCTTGCTTCTATTTCTCACCCCCATGAATCTGGATGTGTTCCACTTATAACTGTGTACTCATCTTTATGACAAATACCTACTCTTCCTACAGGACCCAACTCAAGCATCTCTTTTCTCAGAGCCCTTCCTAACTCTCCCTAGGAAAGGAACTGCTCCTCCTTTGTTGCTTTCACAGCAACTCTGTGTAGTGCTTGAACTGTATTTTTGTTTATATGCCCCCCTCTCTAGACCAAGAGCTTTGTGAAGGCAGGACACACTATTCATCTTCGTATTTCAGCTTCTAGCACAGTTCTTTGAACACAGGGTAAATATTTACTGAATAAATAAAATGACCTCAGTCCTCCTTCTAACATCCCTTTCTCTTGTCTGGCCTGGTAATTCATCAGAAGCATGAATCTGATAGTCGACATGAGGAGTGATAAGACTCTGACCAAGAGCCTCCTTACAAATATGGCTCGTCTTTCAGGAGACCTGCAATTTTTTCTAAGAGCCTCTTCTGTATTTTACACAGGGAATTGCAGAGGAAGCTGACTAGAGGCCACGATGACCAGCCTCTCTGGCTATGTATTGACTTGGGTGATCAGGCTCTGGTGGCAGTAGATACAATTGCAGAATACCACAACAAATAGGGTGGGAAGCTTGGACTCAGGGGTTACGAGGCATGGTTAGTCAGAGGATGCTGCAAAGGATACTAGCAGTTCCTGAAGATAAAGGTTCACAGCTATAATAAGACTGGCATGGGTTAGGGCGAATAGACCAGATGGGCTTACAACCAGCCAATTTTGTTTTGATCTTGTGTCATTTCAGAGAACTGAATGTCTTCATTTACCACTAAATGAAAGAGAAATTAAGTATGCTTTTACTGTTCCCAAAAAAGAGGCACTATAGATATCTTTAGAATTTGGGAAAGTAGGAATTCACATATTATATAAGATAAAATCCATATAGTCACAGGAATACAGGACAGCTTTTTTTCTTTTAAGTGTTACTTACAAAAATTAAAACTAGAGGCCTTTTCATCTATATAAATATATATATGGATTCCAACTCTGATAATTCATGTGCCCTCATTAATATGATTTTATAGCAAAATGGCATTGATTAGATTTTAAACTCACATTTAGCTTACACATTTGCAATAAAATCCTTTTGAGGGAATCAGAATCCCTGTCCCAGAGAGGAAAATATAAGACATTATTCTCCAACTCCTCTGCCCCAGAGATGACCACCAAAGGCCTGACAACCAGTTTATATAACAGAGGGTACTGACTGCATTATTTCAGGAATCCTTCCTTTTCCTTTCTACAAGTTCCTGCCTTTCTTCTCAACCAGAATCATTGTTTCAACTGGGCAACACTCATCACTGAATCAGAGTCACACAATTCAGCAATCTTTTTACTTACCTCAAGACAGAATTACAGACTGTTAAAAACAAAAGGGAACTTTAAAAATTTCTCTTTTAAAAAATATGAGTGCTTAGTGTGTGCCAGGCACTTTGCATGAATTACCTTGTTTAATCCTCACAACTCTATGAGATAGGTAATACCTATTAACCCTGTTTTATAGGTAAGTGAAATGAGCCGAAGTTACTGAACATTAGGTTACTGCCAAGCAGTCTATGGCCAGTAAGTGATAGAGCAGGACACAAATTCTTGACCTCTACACCATTAATCACAATTAATAGTGTACAATTCCAATTAATTCATATTAATGGATAATATTTATTAAGTGCTTGCTGTGTGCCAAGCACCTTCTCTGATTTAACTCTTTTATTTTTAAATAAGAAAAATGGAGCCCAAAAATTTTAGTTGATTGCCTCCATGTGACTAAGGAAGTTAGAAGCAAAATGGCAAAAATATCTGAAATGATACTTTATGTTTTTACCACTGGAATTGGAACTCTGGTCCAGCTCAAACTGATGTAACTCAGGTCTCCTAAAACTCAGGCAAAACATATTTTCTCTTATAGCAATCTGCCTAGATTGGTCCCTGTGTGTATTTTCTCCCTTGTTTGAGCTAGTTACCTGGCCCTCACTTGAATAATTCCAATGATAAGAAATTCATAACATCTTGAGACTTATTTCATATCAATTACCAATGGATTCACTCAAAACCTGACATGACTTCTGACCTCTGGAGGTGTCCATTCCGTGGGAACAGCAGCCTACCTGTTGCTGCACATGGCCCGTGTACTGTTCAATGAACTCGGTGAAGCGAATATAGTCTGTGCCCAGCCGGCAGAGTCGATTCAGGACGCTGGTTTCACTGGGATGGAGAAATGGGAAGTCCTGTGACACCTGCAGGAAGAGTAACAGGCTAAAAACACTGATGCCTGCATATATTTGAGGTGCTTCAAATGCTTCATACTATGAATCACTTCCCTTCTCCAGATGCCCATTTAAGCTTGGTAAATTCCAAACTGCTACAAAGGTGTTGCTCCCCATCCCTGACCTAATTAGTTGTTTATTGAAATAGGTGGTAACACATGGTAACGAATTCAAACACTACCAAATGTACATTAAAAACAAGTCAACCTCCCCACAGGTGGCTACTATTACTTGTTTCTTAGGCCATCTTCCAGGGATGGCCTGTAAAGATATGAAGTTTTTGACCTGATTTCAACAAAGTCTCTTTAGCAATACTGCTCAAACCGGGATCTGCAGACTCCAGGGGTTTCTCAGACATATTCTTAAGATTTACAAATTCTCCATAAAATTTTAAATTTTATTTTCATTTCAATTAAAATGTAAAATTAATGTAACATACTATAATCTATAAAAGCACCTTATAACTGACATAAATGTAGTGTCCATATTTTCATTTGTATTTGCTATTTCATTTCATTGGGTATTATTTTAATTGAAATGAAGGCCAAATAATAACCTACTATGCTATATAAAGGTTTCACAGCAGTTCAAGTAGAACACAGTAGTAGGAGAATGTGCTCATTCAACCACATTTTTTTTATATTGTGGTAAAATATACATAACATAAAAGTTACCATTTTGGCCATCTTTAAAAGTACAGTTCTGTGGCATTAAGTGCATTCACACTGTTGGGCATCCATCACCAACATCCACCTCCAGAATTTTTTTATCTTCCCAAACTGAAACCCTGTATTCATTAAACATTAACTTCCCATTCCTCCCTGCCTCCAGCCCCTGGCGACCACCCTTCTCTTTCTTGTCTCTATAATTTTGACCATTCTAAGTACTTCAAATAAGTGTAAATACAGTATTTGTCTTTTGATGACTGGCTTTTTCACTTAGTATAGTGTCTCCAAGGTTAATCCATGTTGTAGCATGTATCATTTGAATTTCCTTCCTTTTTAAGACTGAAAAATATTCCATTGTATGTTTGTGCAGCATTTTGTTTATTCAATTCATCTGCCAAGGGACGCTTGAATTACTTCTACCTTTTGGCTATAGCAAATAATACTGCTATGAACGCGGGTATACAAATATCTGTTCATGTCTCTTCTTTAACTTTTTTTGGGTGAAATACCTAGAAGTGAAATTGCGGATCATCTGGTAGTTCTATGTTTAATTTTTTTGAGGAGTCACCATATTATTTTCCACAGGGGCTGCACCATTTTCCGTTCCCACCAGTAATGCACAAGGGTTCTAATTTCTCCACGACCTCACCTACACTTGTTATTTTGTTTTTTTTTATCTAATGGGTATAAAATGGTATCTCATTGTGCTTTTGATCTGCATTTCCCTAATAATCAGCCATATTAGTAATCTTTTCATTTACTTATTGGCCACTGTATGTCTTCTTTGGAGGATCAACCGTCTTCTAATGAACACCTACTTATCCCAGGCACTGTGTTAATATCCCGAGATTAAATAGTGAACAAAATCAGATGTAGTTACTATCCCCAAGGAACTTAGTATATTACATATTTATATCATGAGTACTGTATTTTGTGGATGCCAACTTTACATGACAGTAAATGCAGTAATAAATAGGCAAAGAAGAATTTTTGTTACTGAATCCACAATGTTTAGGAATTTAATTTAATTCCATTTAATGCAGATTTTAATGACACAATGCTAACCATATCTTCAAGTATAATAACTTAAGAGGTAACACGACACAGTGCCTAGGAATGTGTCTTTGGGCGGCCAGCCCAATTACTCTGTTAGTGCAGTGTCTCCCTTCAACTGGAGCTGTAGCCCCAGGAAAGCCTTGCCTGTGCCTTTGGAAAAAAAAAAAAAAAAGAAAGAACTCATACTTGGAGTCAGATTGCCAGGTCTGAATCCCTGAGTTGCCTCTTACTTGCATGAAATCTTAGACAAATCATAATACCTCTCTGTGCCTCAGTTTCCGTATCTAGAAAGTGGAGATGGTAACTGTGGGGATTAAATGTTAACACTTGTAAAGCCATGCACATTGCAAGTGCTCAATACATGAAAGCAATTTTTTATTATTAGGACAGCTCTACCCAGTTATCAAGTGATATTCCCACTAAAATTGGAATTTTGAGCAGTGCTTTGTTGGCAGAGTTTTATAAAAGTTCAAGGTCTAGTTATTCTGAAACAGCAAACAATACCTTGAAGTTATTGATACCATTTGGTACAACCTACTTATATAAACAGGCATTCTTTACCACAGACTTACTGAAGTCAAAATCGAGATCTGTAGCAGTCTCAGTGTTGGAGATTTAGTTTCAGCAAAACAATAGTATATGTCACATTAAATCACCGGTTCTCAATCAGAGGCCATTTTGCCCCATTTGTGTCTGGAGATATTTTTGATTGCCACAATTCAGGGGGTATTACTGACATCTAGTGGGTAGAGGCCATGGAAGCTGCTAAACATCCTATAAGGCACAAGCAGGACACACCCCCACAACAAAGAATTATCCATCCAGTCTACAATGTCAATAGTGCCAAGGTTGAGAAACCATACATTAATGTTATTTGGAATTTAGCCATTTGGTAGTTTTGTTTACTTTGTAACAAATATTTGGTTTTATAGTTTTTTAAGAGCAATATGCTTGAGTTTATACTTAGGTGAATGTGTACATGTATTCGATATTATAATAATGATTTTTATCAATATTAGGCATTCATAACAATTTTCCGTTTATTTGATTGTGAAAAACACTGCTCTGCAGAAAGTATGCAGTATTTTCTGTTTTTAGTAGTCTTTTTTCCTTCCATAAATATCTGAACATCTACTATATGGCAGAAACTGTGCTGGCTACATTGATGAAGAAAACCACTACAGTCTTTGCCCCTGTGGGTAAACTATGAGGGAGAAAGACTATTAACAGTTAGCAAAAACAAATAATATGAACTGTGCTAAGTCCTATAAGGGAAATAAACAAGCTGCTGTGATAGAGAATAATGGCATACGGTGAGGATACTTAAAGAGATGGTCAGAGAAAATTTTTTCTGAGGTGACTTTAAAGCTGAGACCTTAAGAAGTCAAGCTTCCACAAATACTTCCTAAGCATTTTCTTCCTATATACCTGCCATTGTGCTAGTTTTATAGGGGAAAATAACGAGAGGAATCTGATTTATAGGTTTTATATAATAAGAATGTCATTTTTCTGCTCTTCCACAGCCTATACCGCCAATCCTTATAGAACAGGCATGACTTTTTAAGTTTTCACTTAAATTCCAGTTAGTTAACATAATGTAACACTAGTTTCACAGATGTATAATACAATGATTCAACACTTCCATACAACACCCAGTGGCCATCACAATAACTGCACTCCTTAACCTCCATCACCTATTTCACCCATTTCCCCCACACCCCTTCCCTCTGGTAACCATCAGTTTGTTCTTTATAATTAAGAATCTGTTGCTTGGTTTGGAATTGGCATGACTTTGTGATCAGACAGAGCTAGATTCAAATCTTGCCATTACCAGGACTAGTCACCATAAATTTCTCTGAGCTTCAGTTTGCTCTTTTGTCAACTGGGGCTAACAATACCTAGGTTACTAAGTTATTGAGAGGACTGGATAATACTACTGAAAGCAGAAGTAGAAAAGAATGGTTCAAATACTGGAGCCAAGCGGACCTGGGGTTCAAGACGAAGCTCACTAATTACTAGCTACCAGATACAGGGAGTTAATCTGTGAAATGGAGATGGGTATTTGTGAAGATTAAAAAAGAGATAATGCATACAGTACCTAGCCCTTCCTCCTCATACATTCCTGGTTACATGAAAATCGCCTTCCAAATTCTAGTGCAGAAATTTCCTGGGAAAGGAGTAATGAGGGAAACACTCCATTTTTCAGTCAACAAAACTGGCCGACCCCATATAGTGCGTTAAGCGCTACGTATTTGGACTAGCTTTCAAAGCTCACTTGAAAGCAGTGAAGCGTGAAAATGGGTGAAAGCGCCTTTTTCACTTTTACATCCAGTTCCCCAGCAACTCTCGCTTAGACACCTCAACCTTAGGCCGCGGCGCGTGCTCCCTCCTCCGGGGTCCGCCTCCTGTTTGCCGGCCCGGGCCCAGCCCTCTCAAGGTGAGGTATAGGGCGCTGACGCCCCTCAGGCACTTCCCGAGTTATCAGCCCAGGGACTCACCCCACGAACACCGCAGCCCCTGCAAGCCCCGCCCTTCGACCCCGCAGACTCCTCCCCCGGACACTGGCGCGGGCCCGCCCATTCTGCGCTCCCGAGTTCCCGCGCTCTGAGCTGGACCGTACCTGGAGGCCACTCCGCTTGTTCCATGTGAAAATGGACCCTGGGTACCCGCTCAGAGCCAAGAGCAGTTCGTGGATCATTCCCACAGCGGGCCGCGAGTCCCTATATCCGTCGCCCCCTCCTCCAACGCCCCTCCAGGGGACCGCGGAGGCGAATGCTGCCTTCTCGACAAGCGCACAGGCCCCTGGGACAGGCGGTTCGTCCTGAATCCCAAGTAGCAAGACAAATTCTGTTGGAAGAGCGGAGGGGAAATATTACGGGAGAGGCGCCCCACGTCCCGGAAGTGTGCCAGGCTCCGCTGGGCCCACTCGGTCGCTCCTGCAGAGGCTCTGCTGGAGGAGTCACCGTAGTTGCCCTTGCGCATGCGCTCTCAGTGCCCTAGTCGCCCGCTAGGACTTCCGGTTTGAGAGCTGGAATGCGAGGCTGGAGAGCCGGGGCCCGGGCCCGACCCTAAGAGGGTGAGGCTGGCCCGGGGGCAGAGATGCGAGTGGGTTGAGGGGCAGCCCCGAGAAGGAGACGCTCCCAGGGGTGGCCGGAAGGTGCTCTCAGGGCGCCTCAGCCCAGTCGGAGGCCTCTGGAGGAACCGCACGACGGCCCCGAGAGTGACCTGGCCAGAGGGACCGAAGACAAAGAGGCCGGAATCCCGCACCCGCCGCTCCTTGAGCCGAGTCCCGCTCCCGCGAACCCCGCAGCACCCGGAGCCTCTGGCCAGCAACCGAACTCGTCCTCAGGAGACCCATTACTACTGCCCCCCTCGGACTCCCTCTCTCCACCAACTCAGTGTGACTCCCCACGCCCACCGGCCCTCGCTTCAGGAACCAAAACCAATCCTCCCAATGCGCGAGGTTTCCTGTCAGTAGTGCCCGAATAGTTGCTGAGCGGTTACTTACGCTGTGAGGGAAAACGAAGATCCAGTATTCAGTACTTGATTTTTGTCCCGGGTGGGAATTGGTAGCTGTGTAGTCTGAGGGGGCGGGGAGGATGTAAAGGGCCTCCGGAACGACTGCGGAGGTACTGGGGGAGATCGGCAGCGACCCGCTTGCCTTCAGCAGGATGGTGACTTGCCTTTAGAGCCTCTCAAGCTCCAGGTCTCCCCTATGGTTCGAACTCACTATGCAACATTGGTCAGGGGAGCTAAATGGGGTCAGGTTTGGGGGGAGGTGGAAGAAGGGCAGACAATACTTTATACTTTGCTGCTTCCCTGGGCTCCTTGGAAGTCACCCAGAAATGGTAGCTTTTGAAAGGTCTCTCCATGCTGTTTTGGCTTGCTGTCCTTAAGCTGGTGCTACCTCAGATGGCCACATGGAGTATATGGGAACTCAGGCCAGCTCTTGGCAAGACTTTAGACATATGAGTGTATTTCTTCTGATAGTGCCATCTCTCTCTACCCTAGGAGGAAACTCTTCTTACAGTTGAGAGACTCATCTGCAGGTGATTCTCCAAGGACATGGGAAAATAGGTGTAAGCCCTCGAACCCTTAAGTGGAGGGGAGCTGCTTTCTGCTGTGAATGATGGCCAAACCCACTCTGAGAGGGAATGGCACTAACTCTGAGACGTTCCGACAGCGCTTCAGGAGATTTCACTACCAGGAGGTAGCTGGGCCCCGGGAGGCTTTCAGCCAACTCTGGGAACTTTGCTGTCGTTGGCTAAGGCCGGAGGTGCGCACCAAGGAGCAGATTGTAGAATTGTTGGTGCTAGAGCAGTTCCTGACCATCTTACCTGGGGAGATCCAGAATTGGGTACAGGAGCAATGTCCAGAAAGTGGAGAGGAGGCAGTGGCTCTGGTGGAAGATTTAGAAAGAGAGCCTGGAAGACCTGGACGTTCGGTGAGAAGGGAGGGGGAATTCAGAAGTGTGTGACTGGGAAGGGGCAAGGATAAAGGGCCAAGGTATATACAGGTTTAAAGACGGGCACAATCTCCTTTGGTGATGCTTATACTTCTGGTCCCAGAACAGGTAACTTTTTCAGATAGAGCTTATCTGGAAATGCTACCTAGGTGTACCTTTGCTACCCTGTCATAATGAGTTATTCATAGTTTTACAGTTTTTTATTTAAGAGGGAAGAAAGGGGAATTATTTTTTAGCTTGTAGGTGGGTTTACTCTCTTGAGTAAACCTTCTTTCTGGAGTTCCAGCTGCTCTAAGCTAATGGAATAAGAAAGACCCTTGTTCACTGTTAAACCTCCTCCCCTGCCAAACCTAGCCAAGTCCCAAAAGGATAACCTCTTTTGGGGTATTAAATAATCTCCTCTGGGAATGCCCCTCATTATAACCTTGCAGTGACAATTAATGGGGGTTGTTTCTAGGTCACAGTCTCTGTGAAGGGGCAGGAAGTGCGCTTGGAGAAGATGACACCCCTGAAATCATCACGAGAGTTATTAAGTGTTCGGCAGGAGTCAGTGGAACCCCAGCCCAGGGGTGTAACCAAGAAAGAGAGGGCAAGGAGCCCAGACCTGGGACCACAGGAGCAGATGAACCCAAAGGAGAAGCTCAGACCTTTTCAAAGGAGCGGTGAGGAGTAGATTCATTTGGGAAGATAGGATGCCATTCTAAATTGGGAAGTAGGGTTGGGAATAGTGAGTGGGAAAGGGATTTCAGGAAATGAGTTGAAATTGTAGAGTATGCAGTTGTTGGAGACCTCCTGAAGGTATGTAGTTTAGCCTCTGGTGTAGTATTCTTATATTTCTTCTTTTGACAAGTCTGCCAGAGGATGGCTTCCTAGTTTTTATCAGAATTGGAACTATTTTATTTCCTCTTGGTAATGATGATATTAGGTGTTTTCTAGATAAAAATTCTTTTGTATACATGAAGGCACAGCCACCTTTCAGTCATTTTCCTTCTCCAAATTAAACTGTATTGTTTCTTTTAAGCTCTTCCCCAGAAGCTCCATTCTTTAGACCTACTAAGTTTTTGTTCCTCCCCTTTGGAAATGAAGTCTTCCAAATAGTAATCGTGGAGAACTAAATTATATTATTCCAGGGTCTGGTAGGTAGAGGCAGAGTAGGAATTTTACTTCAGAATTTCATTACATTTTCTTTCAGTAGAGCTCAACTAATTATTTGGTGATTGTTTACTTGGTAACTCCCAGGACTCTTACCGCTTTCCCCATTGTCTTTGTGCCTAGTGCTTATTGTACTTGATTTTGTAGAACTTGTTTTTCTTCTTTATACTCCGTTGAACTCCATATTATGTTTGGGGTTTTTTGATAATTTCTTTAACTTGTTGAGGTTGTTTTCAATTTTGATCTTATCATCCAAGAAGCTAGCCTTCTCAGTCATTTGTAATGATCTCTGTTTAGTAATCCCGATGCAATTCTTCAACCCCAAACAGAAACTTGCAGAATTAATCAGTTTTTGAACACCTACCATGTATTCCAATGCCTTGCAAGGTACTCTGCAATAAGTAAAGGTGCCTGTTCTCAAAAGAGCTTAGGGTGTGATTGGAAGCAAATATGTGCTGAACTAAACCGTACTGAAACCATGCCGAACAATGACTGTTACTCAATTTGTGTGAGTACAATAGGGGTTTGGCAGAGTAAGAGATGAGGGAGGGCAGTAGGGAAGGCTTCATAGCTTGGCTTTGGCAAATATAACTTCTCATAGAACGGGTTAAATTTGAATAGGAGGGACTTAAAGGGACAGAGTGATGAATAATAGTATGCTATGTTCTAGAGAGGAGTCTGATATGAATGAACAGTGCATGGTAGGCACTTAGGTTAAGGTTCAGCAGTATAGTGTTTAAGCTGAGGAAGCAAGAGCCTGGAGTTAGGTAGGACAGTTACTGCTACATTTATCTGGCTGTGAGAGGATAAGGGGTCTAGACTTGGATGGTGGCACAAGGAACAGAGCAAGACATACTATGGGAAAAACTTTTAGAACTTGGTGACAGTGTGAAGGAAACGGATGAGTTGAAGTTTCCCCCCCATTCTCTTACCCCCTGAAATCACTCTGAGTTTAATTCTCTAGCTCCTAGTGGAGAACTTCTAGGAGATAGGAGGTGACTGTTTCCAGCAGTATCAAGACCTCCTATAAGACTGTTCCTAGCAGTGCCAAGACCTATTAAGTGGTGAGGAGGGCTAGGGAGCAACATGGAACAGAAGTATTTGCTCTGAATACACAAACAGAACCTTTTCCTCTCTTGTCACCCTACTTGAAAATATTCTTTTTTTGACGTTTTATGTATTTTCCCCACTTTCTCCAACCCATTGAACTTTCTGAAAACACTTCCTTAGACACTTTTATAAGCCTCTTGGATTCCAAAACAGGCAGGTCTGAACTGAGAGGTATTTTTATGATCAATCCAAATTATGATATCCTTTGTTTGCTTCCCTGCAAGCAGGATTTCCATTTCCTAAATCCGGTGTGGTCTCCAGGTTGGAGCAAGGAGAGCCATGGATCCCTGATCTGGGCTCCAAGGAGAAGGAACTCCCAAGAGGCAGTCACACAGGAGATAGACAAATGCATGCTGATCTGTTATCACCCAAGAGAGAGAGAAGAAGCTGGGTGGACCAGGATCACTGGGGCTTTGAGGATGAGAAGGTAGCAGGTGTGCACTGGGGCTACGAAGAGACCAGAACTCTCCTTGCAATTCTCAGTCAGACTGAGTTTTATGAGGCTCTCCGAAACTGTCATCGAAACAGCCAAGTGTATGGGGCTGTGGCTGAGCGGCTCCGGGAGTATGGCTTCCTTCGGACCCTGGAACAGTGTCGGACCAAGTTCAAGGGTCTCCAGAAGAGCTATAGGAAAGTCAAGAGTGGTCAACCACCTGAGACCTGCCCCTTCTTTGAAGAGATGGAGGCCCTGATGAGTGCCCAGGTCATCGCATTGCCCAGTAATGGCTTGGAAGAGGCAGCCTCTCACTCTGGCCTGGTAGGCAGCGATGCCGAGACTGAGGAGCCAGGGCAAGGGGACTGGCAGCATGAGGAAGTGGAAGAAGCTATGGCTGAAGAGTCTGACAGTGATGAAATGGGCCAGGAGGCCACCCCCCAAGACCCTGACAACTCAACTGCACCTGTTCTTTTTCGAAGCCCAAGTGGTAAGCATTTCTCTTTGGGGTTCATGGATTAGAGTAGTTATGAGACTGCATGTGCAGTCAGGAAGTTTAATGTTGCCTGTCAGCTTTGTTACTTAAATAGAGAACAAAGAGGCACTTCTGAGTTCTATGTGTATTTAATTCTCTTTTGTGGTAAAATTAGATAATAGTAAGGAGGGAGTCATTTTATATATTTTAAAGAAGTACAATCAGAAAATTCTAGAGAGCTCTTTAAAAGAATACCGTTCCTTCCATTTCTTTAAAATATTTTTTTCCTGACTATAAAATCACTGCTGAGAAAAACCTGGCACTATACTATGTTTAAGGAAAGTGTTTATTGAGCACCTTATACAAACTGGTGCTTCATCTTTTATCTCAGTGTCAGTTTGTGTTCCTTTTCACTTAGCATAGCATAGTGAAGGACTGCCCAAATTTGGAGAAACATTTTCTAAGACTCCTCTAGATTTGCAACAAACATAGTTAAGAAATCTTGTTTAGCACTTTGTTGAAAAATTATTTGCCCATGGAACTGTTTTTAGGTATTATTTATTACTGTTGATAGAATTTGTATAATCATGTTGTTACGGAAAGAACACCAAAATATTGAGTCGGGACTGTCTTGACCACTAATCACCTGGGTGACCATGGATAGTCATCTGACCATTTCATAGCTGTTTTCTCACCTGTAAAATGGGGCATGGCAGCAGGACTACATCTCTAAAGATGCAGTTTCACTGTGAACAGTGATCTTTTCCTTTTGTTTTTTTATTATTTGTGTGTTGTACTTCCAATTCTGTTCTAGGCTTCTTGTCTTCCTATCTTCTACTTTTTCCTTTCTCAATACCTGTTTTCTTTCAGGTATTGAGGTTTTCTTTCATTCTGTTTTTTTGTCACTGGAATAAAGGCAGGTAAACCAGACATGGCACATATGCTAGCTGCTGTTATTTTCATTATCTGTTCATCTTTTTCCACTGCTTTTTCTCTGTCTTCTGATTCTTTCCCCAACTCCTTTACCTGCAGTGAGTGGAGGATGATGGAAGCAGCATCATCTCCAGCTGGCTGGCAAGTGCGAGGAAGACTCTGAATCTCCTTTCCCTCGACCTTGGGGACTTTCAAGGAGCAGAGTCTGTAATCATTGAAGTACTGCCCACGGGAGACCTGCAGCACTAGTACAGGTGCAGGCCAGGAGATACTGTTCTGCTTCCTTCCTCTTTCTGGCTTCCACCAGTCCTTCACTCCTAAGGATAAGGTGCATGACTATCAGGTCCTTATCTTGTACCCTTCAGGTCTTTGCTATTACTGGGTTTGCTTTTTTGAGATTGTAGCAAATGAAGAAGGGCCATAATAGGGATTGGGCGACTGTGATTCTGAGACTGTTCCTTGCAGGCTTGAGTCATTCTTTAGAAAACTTAATTCATAAGGAAGTAGAGCTGGTGGAAAAAGAGTGATCAGAGAAGTCAGGGATGACTCATGACAGTGATTGACTGGGTCTTATTCCCCTGACCGGTTATTTTCTAGTTAGGATCAGAATTCCAGAGAAACTACTAGAAGAATGGGGAAATGCATCCTGTACTCTTGACTCAGTGTATGTAATGACTGTTTCAGTGATCTGGTGGAAAGCCTTCTTTTTTTTTTTTTTTTTTTTTTTAATGGTTAAAGAGAACATAGGAATCAAGGTCTCTGTGAAATTGCTATGGGATATAGAGAAGCAAAACATTCTATAATGAGTTTGTATAGATTTTGGAAACATGAAGTATTTTTACTTTTTCACCTAGAAGCCCAAGCTTAGGTGGTTTTTCATCATGCACTTGATAGGACTGAGGAATTGAGGCTGTAAAGCCCTGGATTAAGTGGTGCCGAAATTTCTCTTCTGGCGGCAGGTGTACACTGGGGCTATGAAGAAACAAAGACTTACCTTGCAATTCTTAGTGAGACTCAGTTCTATGAAGCCCTCCGGAATTGTCACCGCAACAGCCAGTTGTATGGAGCAGTGGCTGAGCGGTTATGGGAATATGGATTCTTAAGGACACCAGAGCAGTGTCGGACCAAATTTAAAAGCCTACAAACCAGCTACAGGAAAGTCAAGAATGGCCAAGCACCAGAGACCTGTCCCTTCTTTGAAGAGATGGATGCTTTGGTGAGTGCCAGGGTTGTTGCCCCACCCAGTGACAGCCGGGAAGAAGAGACAGCCTCTTGTCCCGTCCAGGAGACCAGTGAGACCGAAGCTGAGAAGCAAGCTGAGGCGGCAGAAGAGACCATAGAAGAAGATTCTGAAGATGATGAAGAGGATACTGAGGTACCCCTGGGGGTTGTCATGACCCGTGCTCCAGTCTTATTCCAGAGCCCCAGTGGTAAGATCCTTTTACTTTTTGAGGTTTAAGTAGCAAAGGGGAGGCAGTGGGATTTAGGAGAAAAATCAGCAATCTGAAGACCAGGAGACTGGTCTCTACACCCAGCTCTCATGGATTCTTCTTGTGACCATCTTCTCTCTTCTCCATGTTTCCTTTCATTAAAGCAGCTCACAGAGGGGATATAAATTATTCACCTGACTTGCCTTCTCATACTATAGCATCAGTCTGATGGGTACAGACTTTATAAATTTGCTCTCATCTACGTCTCAGGCAGTTTACCTAGCAGGGAGTATGAACGTTAACATCTCCCAAGTGGTATGTTGTATACCCATAGTGGGATGAAGTTGATTTTATTTTATTTTTTTTAAAAGATTATTTATTTGAGAGAGAGAATGAGAGATAGAGAGCACGAGAGGGAAGGGGGTCAGAGGGAGAAGCAGACTCCCTGCTGAGCAGGGAGCCCGATGTGGGACTCGATCCCGGGACTCCAGGATCATGACCTGAGCCGAAGGCAGTCGCTTAACCAACTGAGCCACCCAGGCGCCCGGGATGAAGTTGATTTTAAAAGTTCATTCTTGTTAAACGTTTTTTCCTCTACTTCCAACTTGTATACCTGTTGTATGTCTGCTTTATTCACATCTATGAAAACCTGATAACCTCTTTCTTCAGCCACAGCTGGACAAAAGTCTGAGATTTCTTAGGGAATGGACCCTTTGAATCTTAGCTGTTGTGTAAGAAAAAGAAATACTTCACTATGGCTTCCCTGATTTGGGGAAGAATAATTCTGATTTTGGAGTCATACATGTATCTGAATCTGAACTCTTGTCCATTAGCCAGCTGAGTGACTCAGAGCAAGTTATTTAACCCTGTAAGTTTGCTTACATATTAAGACGTACCTCATTGAGGTTGATGTAAATGAGGTACTGTGGTGAAGCATCTAGCACAGTGCTTAGGCACATAGTAAGTATTTAATAAGTAATAGTTTTCTTTTTGAAAAGTTCTTTAGATCTGCATTCTTCAAGGGTGTTCCACGGCGCATCAGTTCCATGGAGGTGTTAATATGTTCCACTAAAAAATGGCTTCTAGGTTTAAGAAATGCTAAATTACCCTCCTCGGAGGCTCACAATACATACTCACATATTTAAGGTTCTGAGATTTCACTGAATCTAACAAATCTCTATTTCATGGGGCATCTTACAAGACTGGGCTTCTGGATAGAAACACTGTCTTTAGGGGGCCATAAACAGGCTGACGCTCAGTATTCCTTTGTTCTCAGATTTAGTCCAGGGAATTTGGGATCCAGAATGTCTGACACATCTGAAAATTCTGCAAATTCAAAGTCAATTTGCAAACTGATAATCTGCCAAGTATCTGCAAATTCACATAGCCTGGGCCTGGGGAGCCTGGTATTTGGTTCTTAGAAGAAATAGCTTAGCTTGAGTATTAGAGTAGTGCTTTGGGAACATTTAATGATTATTTTTCCATGGAAAAGAGAATGTCTTAGGGAGATACTTTCTAAAATTTATCTCTCAGAAGGCCTTCTGTTCTTTGAAAGACACCAAATATTTTCCTACCCTGTTTTTATTCTCAACATATATTGGAATTTGAGAGGAGGGGGACTCATATAGCTCTTTTTGGATATAGAAGTTTCTCAGAGTTTTCCTGGGTATTCCTGGGTCTACCTTAAATCTGGTAGGTTTTCCTTGTTATACTGAGAGAGTTTTCTGAAGATCATGGGTATCAAGGAAGAGTTAAAAGAATGTATTAATCAGCCCCTATAACAGATGAGAAGCACGTCATAGGTTACTAAGTAGAGGAGTAAAAACATTGGAATTCTAATTGATAGTAGTCATTTGGGATCTAGTGCTCCCTAATTTTTATCTTTAATCATCTAATGTGATACTTCCCTTATCCCCAGCACATAATACTGAGGAAATGGATAACCTTTAAAATTCTATTATCAGGTTTTGAGGCTGGATTTGATAATGAAGAGAATCTAAAACGAGATATTTCTGAAGAAGTACAACTACATAGAACATTACTTGCAAGGTCTGAAAGGAAAGTTTCCCGGCATCTTACTCAGGGTAAAGGTGGTGAGAGTGAATGTAGATCAGGACAACAGTGGGAAAAGACCCCAGGGGAGAGAAGAGGAAAACCAACACCCCCCGAGAGGAGTCTAGGTAAAGTTCTAAATCATCAGAGACCTTACTTGGGAGAGAGACCCTGTAAATATCTCAGATACAGCAAAAGCTTTGGTCCCAACTCCCACCTCATGCATCAGATATCTCATCAAGTGGAAAATCCATATAAATGTGCTGACTGTGGGAAAAGCTTCAGTCGGAGTGCACGCCTCATTAGACACCGGAGAATCCACACTGGAGAGAAACCTTATAAGTGTCTTGACTGTGGGAAAAGTTTCCGTGATAGTTCAAACTTCATCACCCACAGGAGAATCCACACAGGAGAAAAACCGTATCAATGTGGTGAGTGTGGAAAATGCTTCAATCAGAGCTCAAGCCTTATAATTCACCAGAGAACCCACACAGGAGAAAAGCCCTATCAATGTGAAGAGTGTGGAAAAAGCTTCAACAATAGTTCTCATTTCAGTGCACATCGGAGGATACACACAGGAGAGAGACCCCATGTGTGTCCTGACTGTGGAAAGAGTTTCAGTAAGAGTTCTGACTTACGTGCACATCATAGGACCCACACAGGAGAGAAACCCTATGGGTGTCATGACTGTGGCAAGTGCTTCAGTAAAAGTTCCGCTCTTAATAAGCACCGAGAGATCCATACACGAGAAAAACTTCTGTCACAGTCAGCACCTAAGTAAGCCCCTGAGAATTTAAAGAAAAGATAAATGCATTGAAATTGTTTGAAAAAGTCTTCTAATAGTGATGGTCTCCTATTCCCTGCCCAACTAGCTTAGGAAACACTCTTAGATTTACCCCACTCTGTTCCCATGTTTTTCCTGGATCTATCAATTCCTAAGGTAGTCATCTTAAGAATGACAGGAAGATTTCAGTCCCTCTCCTTGCCTTCATTGGAAATGACAGATAACACTTTTACCACTCAGTGCCTATGTTGTTCCCTTAATAGAGAGGATGCAGTAGTAGATCCCATGTATTTATTTATCCTGTTATTCAGCTGCATTTCAACTGGAAAAACCTATCACAGCAGCATTTCAGGGAGTTGTGAGACTTTTCTGAGTGGGTCTAGCTCTTTATGCAAGAAAGTGGCATTTCCTGTTCACATAAGCCTGTGCTCAGAATGACATTTTCATGCACACTCTTCATTTACCTTAAAGGAGAGTTTAATATCCATCTTGGTTCTGACCTATGAATCATCTTATCAAAAGCGTAGGTGTTCTATATGGGGAAACAGTGTAAACCTTATATAAATATTGAGGTGTGAACCCTGGATTTCTTTATTTTTTCTAACCCCTAGAAGATCTGGAATAGAATAATACATTTAGAGCATCTAGTTTGATTTTTTTTTTTCCTTCTGTTCCGTCTCAATCTGAATTTCATCTGTCCCTTCTGGTCCAGTAGTGCAAAGAGCAAGCCAGATGGATATGCTGATATGAGAGAAGGCAGTTAGAGCTGCCAATAGGGGATTTTCTGCATTCCACACGCTCCAAACACCTAGTTTAGTGTTATACAGCACCCCAGGGCGCTCAATACTAACCTGCACTGAGCAGAAACCACTGCCATGTACCCATGGATTAGGAAACAGACCACTCTGTGCCAACTCTTTACCCTAATAGCAAGGAGGACAGATTATCTTTGGTCACTGGAGTTGCCAATACTCGCACACATGCATGTGCACATACTCAACTGTATAGATCCATTTTTAAAAGTTCTTCAAACACAAGTGTAATTCTGATCTGTATAATCAAATAGTACTGAATTAATTGCCCATCTATTCATAGTAGTATGATGAGCCCTATACAGCACAAGGTAAACAGACCCTGTCCTTGTTCTTACAGTCTAAAACAGATGACACTGACATGGACAAATAATAAATGCACATGTAGAGCTGCAGCAGTTTTAGAGAAATCTAGAAATCTAGTAACATTTTGCATAAATGTTAAGGTCTAATGCATTATAGTTTTCTATAAGAAAAATGTGGGAGGTATTTTCTTTTTATTCAGGAAGGCTTCATGAAACAGCAAGTGTTCAAAGGAAGGAAAGTTACCAGGTAAATTAGGGTGGGATGAACTCTCCAAAACTAATCACAAAACTAAGTGCTGAGTGGGTGAGAAATGGGAAAATTCGAGAGCAAGGTGTTTTATGCAGATGGAGCCCAGGGCAAAAGACAGACTGTAAGGAAAGTTAGACAAAGCTTGGAGCAGCACAAAATCTGAGGAATAGTATGATCTAGGCTATGCACAAGGCAGAGAACTGCCTTAACTGGAACATGGAGTGCCAGAGGCAGATCAGGAGGTGGTGGTCCCATCCACCTATAATAAATCAGATACTGTGCTGTACTTTTTGATGAAAGAGCCAGCTCATACTGGGGAAGAATGAGCAGTTTAGGAGACTAGCTCCTATGGGAGACAAAGGTCAGAAATTAGTATCTTGAGAAGATACTTCAGTGGGCAGGTCTGAGGAAGGAGGAATGTGAACAGATGGCCAAGGCCTGGGATAAGTAGCTGTTTCATATTCACATTTAATCAGTCCTGTGGCTGGAATGAGATATCAAAGAGGAGTGGGGAGACAGAATATTCTGTAATTCATAGCTTGCTGTGTTAGATGAGAGGTTGATTAGGGTTCTTGTGTTGAGGGATCCTACTACAAAAAATCTCCTAATGTTTATTAGGAGGAGATAGTGTCTCAATTATGTGGCCTAAGCAGACAGGAAGATAGAAGAAACATTAGTCTAAAGCAGTGCCTCAGGATCTGAGATGGTTTAGTAAGTATGTTTTTAAATGTGTGTTTTTTGATATGAGAGATTACTGTCTTTAGTATATTTATGGAAAGTTGTGTGTAAAAAGCACTGGTTTGGGTATCAGCAGATATGAATTCTGGTTCCAGATGTCTTGTGTGTAAGTCAACCTGTTTCCATCTCCCTTTCTGTAAAGCAGAATAATGTTTACACCTTAATCTGCCTCTCAGGGATACCATGTTAATAAAAATTACGTCTATAAAGTACCCAGTGTTTCTTCAGGTGGTTTTTCCCCTCCCCAGATATACATGTGCAAATTATTAAGTTGTTGCTGCTAGGAAAAGATAAATTTTTATCCGCTTTTTTGGCTCCCTGTGTGGCCTTACTTGAAGTATGCCTGTTTGAATCTTTATTTTCTAGACTGAGAAACAAATTAGGATGTGGTAAAAGAGAAATTAGAATGAAAATCCTTCCGTGGTGTCTGTATCTGTATCCATTAGGACAGTGGCATTAGGACCTGTCATAACTGGGCATGGAGAGTAAGTCTTACTTTAAAAGACCCAGGACCAGTCTCCTCTCCCCCCACCAACCTCCAGATGAAGAGAATGTACATAAGGAATAGGGCAAAGGCAAACTCTCTTACTGGGGAAAGCCCATTTCTTAGATTTCTTAGACTAGCTTAACAAGCCATTTTCTGCTACCCAGTCTGCCATTGTGGAGGATGGAAGAAGCAAGAAATAGTCTTCAAACATTCTAAGAGAAACCAAGGCCACTGTAGGTGGAGCAAGAGGATCTGTGCACCCTACCATTTTAATACTCATAAGACCTCTGTGGGGACAGACTGAGTGACATGTATAGCAAAGGAAGCAGGGATGTATTAGGAGGAGCTGGACAATCATCTCCTCATCACTTTTTTCCTAATGCTGTTACTTATTCTTCATTTTCCCCACACTATCATTTCTTTTTAAGATTTATTTGTTTTAGAGAGAGAAAGTGTGCATGTGGGAGTAGGGAAAAGGGGCAGAGGGAGAAGGAGAGGATTTCAAGCAGACTCCCTGCTAAGTGCAGAGCCAGATGCAGCCCTCCAAGTGGAGGCTCGATCCCAGGACCCTGAGCTCATGACCTGAGCCAAAACCAAGAGTTAAACACTTAACTAACTGAACCATTCAGGTGCCCCACCTTTTTTTTTTTTTTTTTTTAAGTAAACTCTACCCCCAATGTGGGCTCAAACTCACGACCCTGAGATCAAGAGTTGCACGTTCCACTGACTGAGCCAGCCAGGTGCCCCACATTCTTCCTTTTATTGCTTGGCTATGGCCAGTGCTACAGAACTTAATAACATTTATATGTTTTCTCTGTGTTGCTGCCATTTCTCTTTTACTATAATCAGAATATGGAGGCTGAGTCTTATCAACTCTGTAGAGAACTATTTTTACGGTGACCAGGTAGGAAAGGGAAGCTGAGATAGGAGCAATCAATACTTCCATCATTCAATTCAAAATCTAAAATGAAAACTTTACTCCTATACACTCAACTATCCAGTGAGATGCATATCAAAGTTTAGACATATAAAAAGGTATATATTCTCTGATATCATGGTGCTTAAAGTAACATGTAATATGGATATATTTTAGTTAGGAGCTTAAATTACTCCTACAACCACCATGGTGCTCTTTCAGAAACAAAACTTTGGAACAACTGGAGGTCAGATTAAAGGCAGGAAATAGAAGCCTAAAGTACCTTAGACCTCAAGAAGTGTCTGGTTGGTATAGGTCCATTATGGTCAAAATAACAGAAGGGTAAGGTAGGAACATTTAAAAAAAAACCCACTACCTTGATTCCAGGGGGATTAATCATGAGAGGGGCAAAGCCAGATCTCAGAAGCTAGTTTTGTCTGTCACTAGGGTCTTCCAAAGTAGATTAACCCTGACTACTGGGTATTCACAAAAATCCATGGTATGTTTTGAGTCAAGTTTTGGGGAATACTTAAGGGAGTTTGAGTAAAACAAGCAAAACAAAATACAGAGCGCTGCTGTCACAAGTTACAAGGCTTAAAGGTTTGGTGGCAATTTGTTTTCCCTCTTTTCATCTTTAGACTAGTTATTCCAAAACTTTTCCCAATTAGAAGCTTCTTTGATTTTCCTGAAGTTTTATGATCACTAATGGAGAGGGACTGTTAAGTCAAATCTCTGGTGGAATGGGGAGTTTAGTTAGCAGCCACTTTCAAGTCCCTTCCAGTAAGCAGCATGGAGGTAAGCTCTGTAAGACTTCAGAGCCTGCCAGTCAGTTTAAAACATTTACTGGGCACTGGCCCTGAATAAGGTGCTGGTGATGGAGCCCCTGGTACCTGGCTGCTGTGCTTCAGAGGGAGGGGTGGACAGTTTACTAAGTGTGATATGGCAGGAAGATCTTGGTTGCAACACATACTCAAAAGTAGTTCACCTCATTGCAGCTTAAAAATGTAACACTTTGGGTTTCAGATGATTCCACTTCCTCCTCAGTTCAGACCTGGTTCTGTCAGAAGCAAAGATGTAGTCGATGGATTCATAAGACAGATCCCACACCTGAGACTGGGTCAAATTAAATGTTTCAGCTGCCAGTTGGTACTCTTCAGAAAGGTGTGTTGCAAAAACACCCTTATCATCAGTCTGCCAAAAAAAACCCAAAAAACAAACCAAAAAAACCAAAGTTTTAAAATGAACAAGGAAATGATTTTTTAAAAAAACAGTAACTTATGTTTACTCTATTTTCCTGTTTACCATGCTTCTTTTAAGAGTCTAAACAGGTTTATAAATGCATCCATACATATCTATAACTAAATAGGTCTGTTTATCCTTTTTAAAACAAAAACACCAGGGCAGTGGCTCTCAACCATGGCTGCATATAAAAATCACTAGGAAGCTTTTAAAACGTATCTGTGTACAGGACTCACCCCAGATCAAATAAAACAGAATCTCAAGGGATGGGTACTTGGGCATCAGTACTTTTTTATGTTCCTCTGGGCACTGCCTAGGACCTTTACCCATAGAGCCAAACCTGAGTCACCCTGGCCCTCTGTAGACTCTCATACCCTGATCCTCTCTCACTCTTCTACGTGGGCAGCACCTTGAGGCACGAAAGGCAGTCAGCTAGTAGTGAACATCTGACCTAATGCAACAATGGAATGAAAAAGGAGCAAAATACTTCATATAAAACACCTTACACAGATCACAGATGGATGGGCGATGCTGTACCAGAATCCGAAATGATGCTGGTCATAAGATGGAACTGTCTGACTTTTGATGTTTGAGGTCAAACAGAGTTCTAGATGAAAGGGGGAAAAAGTCTCTTATTAAAAGCAGATTAGTAGACTCATTCATCAGTGTTCACCAAATAGATACATGAAGAATTTTTGTGCTGCAACTTTTGGAAGCAACTATACCAGGCAGAGAATTAATACCCCTTTCACAGCTATGTGCTTCCCCCTTTCTTTTATCCTAAATGGAGAGGAAAGGGGAATTTTATAAGCCAGTCACCCTGGTGAAAGCAGGGAAGAATCATGAAGGAATTTTTGAAGGGTTCCTGCACTTCTTCCTGGTCTTATAGTGGAGGCTAAAACAAAATAGTAGCACTGCTTGAGGGCTACAGTATTATAAAAAGTGAAGAGCAGAAATGGACTTGAAGAAAACCCCTAAACTCCTTTACTCAGACAACCATCTATTCCCTGTCTGCTGCAAGTAAGTCCATCTTAAGCTATTATTAACAAATTCTTGCCTTGACACACTATACTGGGCTCCACAGCCAGAGCAGAAATACTTCACTGACTTGGTTGATGGTGTCAGCTCAGTATGATAAGGCAGCCTCAACATAGGGCCACTCAGTCCAAGGGATGGCAGCCTGCCCCCTCACACTGCTGGGCGCAGAGCTGAGCTGTCACACTAAGATAACTATGCAGGTGGTTTCCATTTTCTCAACTTCTGTGCATGTTTAAAAATGTCCTTAGAAAACGAAAAAAAAAATCTCAAGAATTGCTGAAAACTCTGTAAGTAATTAAAAAACACACACCCACACACAAGTGTTAAAAATTGATAAAATTGTAAATTTAGCAACTTGATCATTCAGTAAAATGGTTTTCAGCCAACTGCTTTTTTCCCTCCAGAGAACGCCTTGCCCGACCATCCAACTGAAAGTGGTTATCTCATCACTAATATATCAAACTGTTTAATTTTCTTCAAAGAACTTAACACTGACATTTTCTTGTGTAACTGTTTACTGTCTCTTATCTATGCTAGAATATAAGTTCCTTGAGAAAGAAACCTTGCCTGTTTTGTTTACTGCTCTCTTCCCAGCGATTTGAACAGCGACTGAAAGAGAATAGGCACTTCATAAATATTTGTTGTTAAAAAGCAGCTCCAGGGATACACATGTAGACAAACAAGTGTGTAACAGTCAACACACATAAAAATATGTCTTGGAATCTTCCATAATTCTTAATTTTTAAATAAATGTCACACATTTTCATAACACATTAATTTGGTTAAAGTCATTTTAAAATACTACATGACTCTTATTCCTTCAATATAATAATTACTGAGTTCCAAGAACTGGGGAATGTAGCAGTGAACAAGACAGACAAGGGCTCTGCTTTCATGGAGCTTATATTCTAATGGAAGCTAAAACGTTGTTACTTAAATAAGGCTCAGGAGGCACATGCACCAAGCAACTTTTAATTTCTAAATGACACTTACATATTTAGAACAGTACTTCTCCACATACGGGTTGCAACCTGGTGGCTGGGGACAAATGTACAGAGTCTTGTCTGGAGGACGTGAAGCCCTAAACCTTACCCAGTGGTATCTGGTGTTGCCTCACAAAGTCTACCAGATCCAGGGATCCTCCCTCAGAAGAGTTGAGAAATGTCCCATGCCCAATTCTGTCAGGAAGCAGATCCAGAAGTACTTGTGTTTCTTTTTTTTGGTTTGGAATCTCAAAAAAAAAAGGGGGGGGGAGGGCATCAATAACCTCTTTCAGCGGTTCTTAAAGGAACTTTTTCTGTAGCCAGCTACTTTGTCCCTCAGAGAAGATAATGCAGACATTCTGGAAAGCTGAACCACCTATACCTTCCCAGCTCTCTTCCTTGCCTTTATTTTCCCATTCATTTTCCAATATTCTTCTAGATTTGTTTCAATGATAATACTAATTATAGTTAACAAGAATAATAACAATAAACACTTTTAGACCTGCTTTGTGCCTTTTCACATAAATTCTCCTTTAAACCTCACAAGAATCTTACAAAGGACTAAGATGAAGAAATTAAAGTTCAGAAAAAGTAACAGGATCAACTTGGGAGCAGAACTGAAACGAGAAAGGGACCTTTTTCATTTTTCATTTTTTTCCTTCTACATTACACTTCTCTACACTTGGAATTTCTTCAGATATACCTAACTTTTGTAGTTAAAATATAAAGTATTTTTTTTTAAAGTTGTCTAAGGTCATGGAGCTCTATCGGACTCCAGGGCCCAGATTCTCTGTGCAGTGTACTCATGTTTTATTATTTTTTTTTAAGGATTTTATTTATTTATTTGAGAGAGAGGGAGAGAGAATGAGTGCAAGTGGGAGGGAGAGACAGAGGAAGAAGGAGAGAAAGTCAAGCAGACTCCATGCAAAACCCATGCAGGGCTCGATCTCACAACCCTGAGATCATGACCTGAGTGGAAATCAAGAGTTGGATATTAGTTTAACTGACTGAGCTACCCAGGTGCCCCATTCATGTTTTATTTTGTCATGGCTAGCTACATACATATCACAACTACCATGAAAAGGTCTAGCTGTACTTTTTATCTACTAGATAGCCTACAGGACAAATGACCTTAACATGCTGAAATGAAATGTTTTATGTCCAATGCATCAAACAAGAAAAGCAACAGAATACAGAAAATTAAAAAAAACTTTTAAAGAAACAAATAGACAAAAGAAAAGAAAAAAAGAAAAAGAAAAGCAACAGAGACTAAGGTAAAGAGAAGGTTCTAATGCTATGCACAAAGACCACAGATAACTGGTCAGAGTAACACATGCTGGCTGTTCCATTTTATTGACCAATAGCTTCAATCAGACATCAGTTAGGTTAGCAAGAGGATGTCCTACGAGTGAAAGATCTTTTTGATCAGAGTGTGGAAACACAGATCCTAGATTTTAAGTTCTGCCACCAGATTACTGACTCTTTGCTTATAGACATGAAAAACATCAGCATTGACAAGAAGCTCCAATTTTTTCCTTAATCTTTAAATAATGATGCTATTCAAACTTTATACTTTACTGCATCTAATATTCATAAATAACCCTGTGAGGTAAGTAGCCTAAGTATTATTTCCTGCACTTGAGACAATAAACTCCAGACTTACCGAGCTGTGTACATTAATCATGTGCAGCTTTTTGTATGTCAAAAAAAAGAAAACAAATAGAAGTACTGACATACAAAGTAAATCCATCTGTAAAATGGGGGAAAGTGTAGTTGACTCCCTTGTTTGCCTCACAGGGATGTGCTTAAGAAAGTGACTATTCCCCAGCCATTATCTGTATATTATCTGTCATTGTGCTCATGTTGCCAAGTTGCTGGGGCCCAATGAGGGGCAACCGATCTTCTGATGAGCCTTATAAAATAATGATGAGCTACTTCCTTTCTCGCCAGTGCATGTGATACATTCAGGTCCCTCACCCTACGAGGACAAGTGAGATGAACTGGTGCTTTTCTCAGTGTCAGCTTGCCAATGACAAAACTGATGATGAAAACTTAGGCATTTTCTCTAGTAAGATGTCAACAGCTGTTTTAACAACACAGCAGTAGTGTGAGTCAACAGCCACCCTCAGGAATGACAAAAACATAAAACCAGTAACAAGGGACTAAAGCAAGTCATACCTTTATCATTATAATTTACATTTAAAAACATTTCTACATTCCTCCTCTTCTACTTTTTTTTATCTCCAGGTTTACTTTTAGCCATTTACAAATGATTATTATTTTCACTGTAATTTATCTTCTCTAGCCTAATTTTACAATATTATTTACCTCTGAAAGATGCAATGCCAACTTCAGGCCTGCTTTTTTAGCTTCTAAAAGAGGTTCCAGGAAGTCTTTTGCCTGTCCTACCTTGATAAAAGTTAAAATGAAGATGCATGAGAATTCTAGGCAAACTGAAGAATTAGGTACTTTGTGTCAATAAACAAAGGAATAAAATAATGGCAAGGAAAAAATGGCAGACTGACTCATTTGAAAATTTCATTTATAAAGCACCTACAACGTGCTAGACACTTGAGGGAATATAAAGCTGGCAAAGACCCAATCCCTGCCCTCAAGAATGTTAAGTCACATATGAGTGAACCTGATGTCAATCAGCCATGCTAGATATAGAGGTCGTCAAATTTTATTTCTGTAAGGAAATCTAGGTATCTAGTGCTAAGGAGAAGTCACCTGATTCAGGAACCTGTATGATTACAGTAAAGAAAACTTCTACCAAATGGATGGGTGAAATAAGAGCACAATAGTCCAAGTTTAAACAAAGTCATAAGAACCAGTTTCCTGGGACTCTCCAAATCCAGTGGTTTTCAACCAGGGCCAATTCTGCACTACCACGCCCCCATCCCCCTGCCACTGGGGACACTTGCCAGTATCTGGAAACATTTTTGGTTGTCACAACTAGGAGGGTGCTACTGGTATCTAGTGGGTAGAGAAGACAGGGATGCTACTAAACATCCTGCAATACACAGCGTATCCTCCCAGGACAAAGAATTATTTGGCCCAAAATGTCAATAGTGACACAAGTGAGACACTGTGCTTGAATCTGACATTCAAGAAGCTCTAGGCCAGTCTTTCTCATTGGGGGTTCTATGAGATAATTAAGGCCTACCCATACTTAAATATTAATTAATTATTAGACATGCATTGTATGTAATGAATTAATTTCTCTCCTCATTCAAATCTTACTCTTTTTTCTTTTTTAGAGGGCTTAATTCTTTCACAGAACGCTGGTTGAGAATAGCTGCTATAGACATTCTGGTCATCCAGGGCAGAATAGGTCTTTTTTTTTTTTAAAGATTTTATTTGAGAGAACAAGCAGGGGGGAGGAGCAGACTCCCTGCTGAGCAGGGAGTCCCAACATGGGGCTCGATCCCAGGACCCTGAGATCATGACCTCAGCTGAAGGCAGATGCTTAACTGAGCCACCCAGGTGCCACCCCCTGCCTTTTTTTTTTTTTTCCAAAGATTTTATTTAAGAATAGGTTTTCATCCACACAGAGTGTCTGGTAGACCTCTGGAGAATGCAGGATGCCCCAAGCTAATCCTTACCCCAAAAACTGATTCTACTTTTCAGAAATAAAATGTATTTGGGAAAAACAGCTTACAGTAGGGTCTCCACTGAGGTCAAGGCCAAGAACTGTATCGTCAGTAGAGAGGAAGAACTCTTCAGCTAGTTTAACGGTCTCCTTGGCTACTGAAGGGCCACCTCTTCTGTCGATTGCTATCAAATACCTTTAACATAAGAAAAACACAGTTGAAAACAAATACAGTGCAGATGAAAAAGACAACTCTGAGTATGGTCAGAGAGGTACAGCAGGCTACATGTAAAATTTACTTAGTAGAAGTACAGCCTGACTGACAGGACAGCTTACTTTGCCAGAGGGCATGAGACCATAAATTCCTAAATAGCACCAAACATCTAGTGTTCAAATTCTTAAACGTTTCAATTTTTTTTTATTCTTACATTTGTTTTTTAGTTTATTCGATTCTGAATTCAACTGAAGTCCATGCACTGTGTTGGTCAATGCATCCCAAGTCTCTTTTAATCCAGAGATTAATGGATCCCTCCATGCCCCACCTTCCCCCTTCTCTGAAAACCCCCACCACTTTTCTTGAATTTATTTCTTGAACTTAAAGAAACCATGTCCTTTGTTCTATAAAATTTCCTACAATATGCATTTTGCTGAGTGAATTCCTGTGTTGTTAACCTGTTTCTCCTGTCTCTTATATCTCCAATAAATTGAAAACTGGAACTAGTCTGGAGGCTTGATCAAATTCAATTTTTTAGCAAAAGTATTTCATAAGCGATGGTGTGTTCTTTCATCAGGAGGCTTAGATCCATTATTTCATTAAGTGTTAAAAAATTGGTAATATTCTAACACATATCCAATAGCTGATACAAATTCATTCTTCATGTTAGCTGGAATTCTACAAGGCATCTAATACCCAGAGAACCCCTGTTAATATTGCATAATTTTCCTCCAGCATTTTTTAATTTATCAATTTTTTTACATTCCTCCAGCATTTACTTATTTACCAAATTTGGATCAACTATATTTAAATGCAGTCTTTTTTTTTAACTTAATTTCTCCTGTCATTAAATAATGTTAGAAAACAATATAAATCATATGAACATAATGTAACTGTCCTCTGCAAATATTTTCGGATGTTTTCCACTTTTTGTTATAAATAACACTATAGGTACACCTGGATGGCTCAGTCAGTTAAGCAATATGCCTTGGGCTTGGGTCATGATCTAGGGTCCTGGGATTGGCCCAGAGTTGGGCTCCCTGCTCAGCAGGGAGTCTGCTTCTTCCTCTATCCTTCCTCTTTGCTCATGCTCTCTCTCTCAATTCTCACTCTTTCTCAAATAAAATCCTTAAAATAAATAAAAATAAATAACACTACAATAAAGAATCTTACACAAAAATCAATTTCCTTAGGATACGTTTCTAGAAGTGGAGTACTGCGTCAGAAGGAAACATTTTTGTATATCTTAACACATACTGCTTTTTAAAGAGGTTTTATTTATTACATATGCTTACTAGCAGTGTGTAAGTTCACAAACTGGTTATTACCTTGTTTTGAGGGGGAGCTATTGAAATGGCATTGTAATATTTTAAATTTATCTGATTGAGGTGCCTGGGTGGCTGAGTCGGTTGAGCGTCCAACTCTTGATTTCGGCTCAGGTCATGATCTCAGGGTTGTGAGACTGAGCCCCAGTCAGGTTCCATGCTCAGCGGGGAGTCTGCTTGAGATTCTCTCTCTCCCTCTGATCCTCCCCCACCCTCTGCACACTTTCTCTCTCTCAAATAAATCTTTAAAAAAAATTATCTGATTAGTGAGATTAAATAGTTCCCAATATACTTACTGGTCATTTGTAGGTCTTCATTTCTTAATTCTCTTCTCATCTTTTGCCTGCTTTTTTGGGGGGAGGGGTGTGGGTATCAGTCTAGTTAAGCTTAATTTGGAGAGATTTTCCAGAAACTATACAGGTAGCTTTCTTCCTTCAAGGACTTACTGAGCCCTGATTATGTGTCACCTCTAGAAGGGTAGTGGCAAAAGACAAGTTTCCTGACCTCATGAATTTACACTCTAGTGGGTATGTATGTACAAATAAAACAAGATAATTTTTTTTAAGATTTTATTTATTTGACAGAGAGAGACATAGCGAGAGAGGGAACACAAGCAGGGGGAGTGGGAGAGGGAGCAGGCTTCCCGCCGAGCAGGGAGCCCAATGTGAGACTCGATCCCAGGACTCCGGGACCATGACCTGAGCCAAAGGTAGATGCTTAACGAATGAGCCACCCAGGCACCCAAACAAGATAATTTCTGATCTTGTTAAGAAGACTGCAATAAAGGAAATAAAAAGGATTACTAGAGGATTTGGGGGGGGCACTTTAGATAAGGTGGTCAAGGAAGGCCCTCTGAGGAAGTGACAGCCAAAATGAGAACTCAATAATGAAAAGCCAGCCATGCAAGGATATGGTGGGAAGCATGTTCTAGGCAAAAGCAACAGGAAGTACATAGGTACTGAGGTGGGACAGTCTTGACCTATCTGAGGAACAGAGAGCAAACCAGCGTGTAACAATGACAAGTGGTCCACATAAGGCTGTTGAAGAGAGGCAACCAGATCACAGGGGACCCTGTAGGCCACAATAAGAAGTCTGGATTTTGGCTGAAGAGCAATGGGAAGCCATACTTCTCTAGAGCAACAGTACTCAGAATTTTATTGCCACATGAACAAATTCTGAACTGCATTCTCAACTTTTAAGCAATAGGTTTCTTGACTCCATTTTTCTAAGATAAAAATCAGTTATTGTTTGATTTATAAAAATCTGTTACACTCATGATCAAAATAATAACATTTTCACATTATAGTTTTTTTTAAATGGTGACCACTAAGGTACCATGCTTCTTACCTAACATCAATGTCTATGTTTTCTTGTTTGGACTGTTTTATACCCTCAAGTACAGATTCCACATAAGCCTTTTTAGTCATTCCTGGAAAGGACATAAAGAAAATATTTGTCAAGAGATCATCAACTATTTCATCCTTTAACATTAGCATCCCTCTATGAACAATTACATTTTTACTTTATGCTGTGACAAGGGCATGATTAAAGATGAGTTAAAACATAGCCCTATGGGTACATTTTCATAAATGCTAACTGTACTTTAATAAATTTTTTAAAAATGAAGTACGAGAAAGCAGAAATAGAAAAAAAGACATAAAAAAATAAGCCCATTTAAAAAGTATTCTTAGGGGCGCCTGGGTGGCTCAGTTGGTTAAGCGACTGCCTTCGGCTCAGGTCATGATCCTGGAGTCCCAGGATCGAGTCCCACATCGGGCTCCCTGCTCAGCAGGGAGTCTGCTTCTCCCTCTGACCCTCTTCCCTCTCGTGCTCTCTATCTCTCATTCTCTCTCTCTCAAATAAATAAATAAAATCTTTAAAAAAAAATAAAAAGTATTCTTAGATCCAACAGACATAAAACTACTCTCACAGGGCGCCTGGCTGGCTCAGCTGGTAGAGCATGCAACTCTTGATCTTAGGGTCATGATTTCAAGCCCTGTGTTCAGTGGGGAGCCTAGTTAAAAAAAAAAAAATTATTCTCACAAATTGCTATAAAAATCTAAAATGCCTGTTCTAACAAAACAAGAACAGCCCTTTTCTAAGGCCTATCCTTAAAAAAAAAAACAGAAACAAAAACAAACCATTTTTCTCTATTAGCAGAATGTTTTCCTGCTGGTCCAGAAAAAAAAATCCCCTCTTGGGTTCCTGCCTCTTCAATCCTGGCCAGGCCCATTGTTTCCTGTCCAGGGCACTAGAGCAGTTCTTCCAATTTTGGGTGTACAAGTCATCTTCTGGGGGCTCTGAGAGCACTCTCCAGAATAACCCCCTCTAAAATGCTATCATGCCCAATCATAAAATGCTTTCTTTTGGCAGAAAATCTCAAATAACACAGAAAATTATAAAGAAAAAAATGAGTAACCTATAAACCCACCACTCAGAGATAACCACTTTGTTTTTCTAAGTATACATATTTTTTTGAACAGATGAGATGCTACTACGTATATATGTATCCTGTTCAGTTGCTTGATACAGTCCTGTATTCTGAGTATTATCCCTGAGTCTTTATAGTATCTTCGCAAATATTTTAAATGGTTGCCTCATATTCCATTAACCCTTATTTAACCATTCCCCTGTTGTTGCATATCAGGTTAGCATCCCTCTTGGAATCTCCATTCAAAGAGCAAACTAGTTCTAGTAAGTGGCAGGTTTCTTCTCTATCCTCACCAGCATAAACTAGAACTGATCCTACAATTTAAAAATGTGAGATAAGAATCTTCTGCTTGTCCCATTTCAACACTTACTTTATGTAGTTTTAAAAAGTTTATCCCCTGAATGACTGGACTGCACATGTCAGGGTGCAAGATGAACTGGCAGACCTTTTTCAGGTCATAGACAAGGGACAAAGAGGGACCCAAGGACACTGCATAACATCTCTCCACGCTGCCCCTATGAAAAGAGGGTTCCAGGAAATTTCTCCAGACCACATCCAGATCTACTCATCTCCATCCAGAGAGGTTTTACCACCTCACCCCTTGCTCCTGGCTTAAGACACTATCAGTCTCTGAGAAGGGACTGAAAAACCTTCATTTCTGTGATTGTCATAAGACATGATTCAGCATCTACTCAGTGGCACTGTCTCACAAGTGCCCTCAATGCAAGGAGCAAGAAGTAGCCTCTGTTTAAGACAATGTAACTATAAGGAGCATGCATTCTTTCCACAGAGAAAAAAACAAGAACAAGCAAAATTTTTGTAGGCCTTTTAATTTCCCTTAAACAGATAACCCCTGACCTGATTTTTTAACTTAACAACTCACTCATTAATAATGTACATCATTGGGGTGCCTGCGTGGCTCAGTCATTAAGTGTCTGCCTTCAACTCAGGTCATGATCCCACGGTCCTGGGATCGAGCCCTGCAACGGGCTCCCTGCTCTGTGGGAGGCCTGCTTCTCCCTCTCCCACTCCCCCTGCTTGTGTTCCCTCTCTCGCTATGTCTCTGTCAAATGAATAAATAAAATCTTAAAAAAAAATAATGTACATCATTAATGTACATCAGAAGATTTGGACTGTTGACTCTACAAGTGTTAAGTAAGTGCTTCATATTCTCAACTTATAAACACATGAATCATCAAAGCACAGAGGAAAAAAGTATATTTGCTGAGAAGTAATTAAACTCTACCTGTAGCATTTTCTCTTCTAGGTGTGCTCCTTAGTTCCAGGTACTTGACACCATCATCTGCAAATTCTTTAATGACATCTTTTGTGACCTGATAGTTAAGGCAATGGACACAATATTGATAATGTTAGTGTAAGGGTCCCAATGAAAATGCCAAATGCTACAGCTTTATTTCACAAATTAAATTTGATTTGCAAAAAATGTTCCAAGTCTCTCATGTGGTTAAGATGACCTGCTTTGTCATACCCCTGCTGGAGACTGTGATAAGACTGTAACACTTCCAAGAGTTCCCATCACAACCCTCATTCTCACATTAAATCCAAATCTGCACATCACATACACTTTTTGTTTCTCTTCTCTCCTTTTAGCCATTTCTCCATTTCCTAGTGTTCATAACAGTAGCTGGTAAAACAGAGAAATGAGGCAAAACTAAAACTACTTATGAGTGTGTAGTACTAGGAAGGTACATATGGAAATAAGTGGCTAAAACAATTAGGTATTACTGATGTACCATTCAAAGTCATGGCTTATGGTTCTTATTCAAGTTATTTATGAATAAGTTGTATTTTGCAAAAGTTTCTTCAGGCAGGGTGAAATTTTCTCCAGGAGTACTAAGAAAAATCTCTCTTTGACAAAGAAAATGGGTGATAAATATGAGTAATATGGTATCCAATTTAGCACAAATTTCAACAACCCAAAAATGACTAAATGACCAGGGTAAATGATATCAAAAGGATGAAGGCATTATTTTCCTTCTCTGCAATCAATCCTAAAAAAATACTAAATCTAGAAGAAAAAAGGACCAGGTTGGAAATGCTGTGACAACCAGCCCTAGCTAGTCTTCGTAGTTGGTTTCCTAATCTTAACCTGTTTTGACTATATGCACATGAGCAGGCAAGTGCAGTGTCCTGGCAAAGGAACAAGGGGTGGCTGATTGTGTAGACAGTGCCTAACAAGGCGGCACTACTTTAGTGGATTCACTGTAATCCAAGGTCTGGGCTGTGTGTGTGTGTGTGTGTGTGTGTGTGTGTGTGTGTGTGTGTGTGTACACACCACATCTTCTTTATCCATTCATCTGTTGATGGACATCTTGGCTCTTTCCATAATTTGGCTATTGTGGACATTGCTGCTATAAACATCGGGGCGCATGTACCTCTTCGGATCCCTACATTTGTATCTTTGGGATAAATACCCAGTACTGCAATTGCTGGGTCGTACAGTAGCTCTATTTCCAACTTTTTGAGGAACCTCCATATGTTGGATTTATCTGCTTATGGGTCTATCTCTCTAACCTAATAAAAATTCCTCAGGGGGCAGAGACCATGTCCATCTATCTTATTTCCCTGTCTTTAGCAGTGTGCTAGAACACTGTGGGCACTTGGGCAACTTTTGTTGAACTAGACTTTTAAAGTTAACTCTCCACCAAAAGGTGATTAATTTTCATGAGGATCAGTTTCAGCCAAGAAGGAAAATTCTTTCTTGACCAGTCAGAAGTTATTTTTCCAGAAACACAGGTTATACCTCTTACTCTGTATTTTTTTTCTAATCGTTAAGAACACTGATAAGGATTCTGTTTTTCTCCATTTACAAAGAGTACATTTTAAAATGCCACCTAGGGGCACCTGGGTGGCTCAGTTGGTTGAGCGACTGCCTTCGGCTCAGGTCATGATCCTGGAGTCCTGGGATCGAGTCCCGCATCGGGCTCCCTGCTGAGCGGGGAGTCGGCTTCTCCCTCTGACCCTCTCCCCTCTCGTGCTATCTCCCATTCTCTCCTTCTCAAATAAATAAATTCTTTAAAAAAATAAAAATAAAAAAAATAAAATGCCACCTAGTCAGACAATGATACAGAAGCCAGTCTTCCATATTGGAGTCTAGCATCACAGAGCTATAGATAGGAGAACACAGTGGTGTCCTCTAGTTCTTCATTCCCAGAGGGAAGGACTAGGGATTAGTCATTCAATCTCTAAGTACTTCTTGAACTTCATTCTCTGTACTGTCCACCCAGGCAGTTAAAAGTCTCTCAAGCAATACAGATAAAGCCTTATCAAAGAAATGCTCATCCATGGTGAAATATTTCATATAATATGTTATATATGGAAAAGAGGACAAGATTTTATCCTCTATGTAACAGAATATGTTGATCTTGCTTCTCTTCTCAGATCTTTTACAATGAATGTAGTCTTTGATATTAGCTCTTGGCAAATGTCTTACATTGGTTTTGAAAAGAGTTGCCATAAAAAAGCAGAAAGTATTTTTCATTTGACTCTTGATGAAAGCAAAAATTCATGTTCAATACCAAAAGGGCATAAATTACTTAATAATTTTTAAACCACTCTAAAAATTTTTCATTTCTCACCATTAGAATATCTTCAGGGCTAGTAGTAAGTTGATGAATAATTTGAAACATCTGGAAACATCTGCAACAGGAAAAGTTTTAACATACTCTAGTCATCAAAAACTTGTCACTCGAGACAAACTCACTAAATTGAATGAATATATTTTAGGCTAATACTAATTATGTATTACAAAGAACTACAGAATAGGTTTTTCAAAAATTACACTGATCTGGAAGGATAATCAAATGACTGAAAATAGAATGTTACTCTTAAGTGGGAAATACTAGTTTCCCTTTACCACATCCCCTACCCCCTGTTGACAGCAGCAAACAGGGAGAAAAATCAATAAGCCTACATTTTCACATCTAAAGAATATTCTAATACAGTGTAACTTTACAAACAACATAAGTCACTAAAAATACTGTCAGTGGTCTAAACAGCTGGAAAAAAATGCTATATGTCAAGTTATACTCTCTATACCAGATGGCTACCCAATTCCTTTAACTACTAAAATCTGGATTCTTACAGACTATTTACAATCTCGAAACAGTAATAGAGATAAAAAGAAGTATGTCCACAACCTCCCCAAACTCACTCTTCTAAAGTTTTCTTTCCCTTGTTAATCATAGTCATCTGATCGTGGATTTTAAGACCTGGTTTCTTGGCTATCAATTTCTTCATGGTATTAGAACTAATGGATCCATTCAGGTGGGCATGAAGTTCCTAAAACAAGAGAATACAATCAGTAGAAACTTCTCAAGTATCCGCTAGATTCACAGCATCCTGCCAGGTACCTGACATTTGTAATCTGCACTAGGCAAACTGCCTACTAGATGTAGCTATATAACTTTTAAAGTTTATAAAATTTACAAATTCTACCTATAAAATTTACTTTTCTTTGTGGAAAAAACAAACAAACCAACAAACAAACAAACACAGGCATCCTTATAATTAGCCACCACTCCAGAATTCTGTGATTGAATTCTCACCACTTTAGGTAATTCTGAGTAAAAGGCTGCCTTCCGTGGCTGCTGGTGTTCTTCTGCTTCCATCATGATTTCGCAGAATAAAAAGGTCTTTCTCCAAATACTCTTATTCTTGTTATGAACAGTACAATGTGCTTCAGTCAGTAAATTCTGTGGTCTTGAATTTCCTTCAGATTGCTTTATGTCCATACATTTTGATAAGATAACCTGTATATGTAGCTCTGGGCTCAGCTTCCCCTATTTAAACAAATGTGAACATTTTCAGCGGTTGACATAAAAACAAAGAAACAGAATTCTGCCACTTTATTCCTCAATAAACAAAAGCCCCTTCAACGCTATTTAAGCAAATTAACAATCTAAACTAGAAATAAGAAAAGGCCTCAAACTGGTAAGAAGTGAATGGAAATCTGAAATTTAGTAAAGTGTATTCCTTACCTATTAGACCTTTCTATAAAACTTTTATTTTTTTTTTAGATTTTATTTATTTGAGAGAGAGCGTGCACACAAACAGGGGCCAGGGGAAGGGCAGAGGGAGAGGGAGAAGCAGGCTTCCCGCTGAGCACAAACCCCATGCGGGGCTTAACGCGGGGTTCGATCCCAGGACCCTGGAATCATGACCCAAGCTGAAGGCAGATGCTTAACCAACTGAGCCACCTAGGCGCCCCTATAAAACTACTTCTAAAAGTAGAAGTTTATAAAGCCAATTTTGGGTAGAAGTTGACATTTTTGAGCTGTTTAAAAAATGTAAAGGAAGGGTGGAGGCAGTGAGTCAGATGGACCCACATTAATCGTTATACCAGTTCTGTCATTTAGTAGTTGTATGGCCTAGTTACTAATCTAATGGTTTCGGTTTCCTTATTTGTAAAAATGGAATACAAATGCAGAGTAGCCCTGAGGATGAATAAAGTAATTTAAATTCCCCTCTGCTATGCTCCCATATAATTTAGTGACTACCTTTAAATTAGCACTTTGTCACACTGTTTCTCAATCACAGATTGGTTTTTTTTCCTTGTTGTTTTTTATGTAAGTTCCATGCTCAGCATAGAGCTCAACACAGGGCTTAAATCAAGACTCTAAGATCAAGACCTGAGCTGAGTTCAAGAGTCTGATGCTTAACCAACTGTGCCACCCAGGCGCCCCATCTCAATCAGTGATTTACTTGTCTTTCTTCCTCACCAGACCATACACTTCAGAAGAACAAGGACTATGGCTAATTCTACCTCCCTAACACCTAGGACAGTGCCTAGCATGTTGTAGGTGATAAATAAATCCTAATTTCCCTTCACCTCTGAAGGTGGCTTATAAATAAGATAAAATTCCAAATGAAATTTAGTGATTTTTCAGAATAGCCACCCTGAGCCTCTGGGTTCTCACATATTAATGATGATGATGTTGATAAGAAGAGCAATTTTTTTTTTAAGATTTTATTTATTTATTTGAGAGAGAGAATGAGAGAGAGAGAGAGAGAGCATAAGAGGGGGGGAGGTCAGAGGGAGAAGCAGACGCCCTGCTGAGCAGGGAGCCCAATGCAGGACTCGATCCCACGACTCCAGGATCATGACCCGAGCCGAAGGCAGTCGTTTAACCAACTGAGCCACCCAGGCGCCCAAGAAGAGCAGTTTTCATTCAGAGCAGACCCGATAAGTAGCAAGTGCTTTTACTATTATCTTTAATTCTAGCAATAACTTTGCAAAATAAATACTTTTGCCAATTACAAATCAATAAATTGATAGAGAGGGGGTAAATAAGTTTTCATGATATTAAAATGGGCAAAAAAGAAAACAGTTTGGGGGTGCCTGAGTGGCTCAGTCGGTTAAGAGTGCAACTCTTGGTTTCAGCTCTGGTCATGATCTCAGGGTTGTGGCATCAAGCCCTGCATAGGGCTGTGGGCTCAGTATGGAGTCTGCTGGAGATTCTCTCTCCCCTTCCCCCTCTGCCCCTCTCCCCTGCTTGTGCATTTGTGTGAACTTTCATCTCTCTCAATAAATAAATAAAATCTTTAAGAAAACAAGTTTGTACAGGACCACAGAGCCACAGAAATCCACAGAAAGGCAAACACAGTATGAAATAAAAGTGGCATTTCAATAGAATGCTATAGTAAGTGCTTCATAAATAGTAACAAATGAAAAAGATAGGCTGTTTAACTAATATGCTTACACTCCTACCAAAATATAGAGAAGACAGCATTAAGATGGAAAAACATACTTTATCTCCCATAGGTAAAATCAATTTGCCATAAATTGACTTTTAAAGTAAATGTTAATCAAAATATTCCCAAAGTTATTTCTTAGAAATTGAGTTTTAAAGTTCATGTGGAAGACATAAAATTATCGAGAAAAAATTGTGGATCTCGAATGATATCCAATAGTGAAGGTATGAGTAAAAGTTCTGGTGGAAACAGAACTTGGGATGGTCTTTTTGGAAAGCAATTTGGCAATATCTAACACACACACACACACACACACACACACACACACACACACAACACAAAACACCATTTATTTTCTGACCAAATAATTCTAAGAATTTATCCTATATCTTATAGGATATGCACAAATACATTTCTTATAACATATAATAGCAAAAAATTGGAAACAACCTAAATGTCCACCAGTAGGCTACTGGCTAAATTAATTATATCTCAATCCAACTGAATATCTATGACTATAGGGAAAGACTTTTTTTTTTAAAGATTTTATTTATTTATTCGAGAGAGAGAGAATGAGAGAGATAGAGAGCATGAGAGGGAAGAGGGTCAGAGGGAGAAGCAGACTCCCTGCTGAGCAGGGAGCCCGATGCGGGACTCGGTCCCAGGACTCCAGGATCATGACCTGAGCCGAAGGCAGTCGCTTAACCAACTGAGCCAGCCAGGAGCCCAGGAAAGACTTCTATGATATAGTGTTACTTCCAAAAAGTAACAAAATATATTGCTTAGAAAGACAGCATTTATGAACAAAGCATATTTTATTTATTTATAATTATGGGTTGGAAGTGGCAAAGGTCAGGGGAGAGAATTTTACTTTTACTTACCTTACATAGTTTTCTGCAATCTGAAGGTTTTACAACAAGCATGTAATACTTGATCACTTTCTGAAATAAGTTTAATAAATTAAAATGTTAAATAATCAATAAATTTATATAATTTACTTAATAATTTTAATATAAATAATAAATTGTTTAATTATTTTTAAAATAATTAAATAATTTTAAAAACTTGCAAAACAGGGGTGCCCGAGTGGCTCAGTCAGTTAAGTGATGGCCTTAAGCTCAGGTCATGATCCCAGGGTCCTGGGATAAGAGCCCTGCGTTGGCCTCCCTGCTCAGTGGGGAGTCTGCTTCTCCCTCCCCCTCTCCCTGCCACCCCTGCTTGTGCTCCCTCTCTCTCAAATAATTAAATAAAATCTTAAAAAAAAAACTGCAAAACAATTTTATTATTATGAATTGTGAGAGGAAGAACTTTTATGTTTAGACAATAGAATGACAGCCTAAAAGGACATTTTTCATAGCAGGCTGATAATAAATCTGACAAGTGGCTAGCTTTTTAAATATATTTTCAATCCCACTCTAGGGTCCTGATCTTATTTTGTGCTACATTCAAACCACCCTCCAGACTGACCTTTAACTAGTTGTGAGTAAATTTACTGACCCACTGGCTACAATATTAACCTCTGGAAATTTGAGATCTACCAAAAAGCACTATTTTTACACATTTAAAAAACTGTTGTTTCACTGATCCATGCCTAAGATACTACCATCAACAATACCATGCCCTGCCAAATTCTACCTTCCTGGGCTAAGTTTGGTGTGGGTGGGAAGAAGCTATGGTGGGAGTGAGGAGCGGAAAGGCAACACATTGAGATAAGATCTTTCTACATTTGTACTATATTTCGTCAAGTTAGAGCAGGGCCAGAACCAAGTCTCCTGTCTCACAGAGAATTTTTTTCATGCCCCAAAAAGAAAAGGGAACTCAGAATAATAAAGACACGTGCTACTCTTTTTTATTAAGCACTTATCATGATCCAGGCACTGTGTGCTAAGTTTCTTAGATGGTTATTCTATTTAATCCTCACAACAACCCATGAGATATTATCCTCATTTTACATAAGAATAAACAGATTAAAAAATAATAGTCAGAAAACAATCCTATGGTACCCAAATCACAAATTTTGCTCCATTCTCTTCCTTCCTGAATCAGTTTTCTTAATCTGTTCTTTACCAAAAAAAAGTAGTATTTCTAACATATCACCTAAATTTTACTTGTCATTAAAATTCACTTCTACAGCACTATATATATATTTTTAAAAGTCCTACAATTCTTTTTGTTTTTCTTCTTCCTTGGCCCTCAATCAACTCTGAGACATTTCAGAAAGCAGCACTTACTCCTCTCATTTTAGACATGAAGATCCCAGGCCCAGAAACCTCAGGGGAGTCCTCCCATTCCCATCAGAGGCAATTCCAAACACCTCAAGCACTCCACTAGACCCAATCACCTCACACGGAACTGACAATCCAGCTGCCAGCCAGTGTTACAGAGATAACAGAAGCCATCAGGCAAGAATTTTATTTCTCTCTGCCCTCACATCTAAACTTTCCTTTATCTGTATACTTTGTTCTCTCATAAGTCAGAGAAAAAGGATTCATTCTTCTGTCCTCAACACTAATTTGTGCCCTAGATCCCATTCCCTCCTAGCTATTTCAAGTCTTTACTCCACCAGTTAATCATCTCAATTTTCTGTTCTTTCAACCTCTCTGTTGGCTAATTTCCCTCAGGGAACCAATATGCATGTACATTATTTGCTTCCACCTAAAAGCAAACAAACAAAAACCTTTCTTGTATCCCATATTCTTCTTTACTGCCCTGTCTCTCCTTTCATTCTAAACTAAGCTCCTTGAAGGCATAATTTAGACTGGCTGCCTCCATTTACTTTCTCCCATTCACTGAAACATGAATTCTGCCCTTACTGCTCCACAGAAATTGCTCTCCCTGAAGTCATTAAGAGCTCCTCAACACCAAATCTAAAGACACTTTTCAGTTATCAAACCTTTATTCTGACTCAAACCTCTGAATTCCAGTGTCCAAATCCAAAGGGGCTGGACTCCAACTCCTGCTCTTAATCATTCTGCTAGACTGCTTCAAAGTAACCATACTTAGTCATCCTGATTTCCTTCTCCACCTCAGCCCTTGCAATTAGTCACCAAATTCCAATCAATAAATTATAAATCTCCTAAATATCTCTGGAAGCAGTTTCCTACGGGTGAAGACTTCCAAACACCCAACTCAGGAACTTAATGGTTATTTTAAACCCCCGACAAGACTCAGACCATATCAGAGGGAATAATCACCTCTCTTCTGTGATTTCCCTCTTCCGTGGATATATTCCACACTACCCTAGAATCACAGACTTTTCGAAGTGGAGGGGAATGTCATTTTATAACCGAGAAACAGAGGCTGAGTGTTTTACTTACTGTCAGCTTTGCACAGAGCCAGGAATACAAGGGAACTGATAGTATGTATCTGTGGGGAAACATTTACTGGGTGAATCACAACCTCTGTAAGTTTCATTTTGCACCTGGCCTCAATGACTTGTTTTCAGATTTAAATGGAATCTCTTTTTAAACTATGAAAGCATTAAATAAATGAGTAAGTACTAGTAGTTAGCATCTGAGGAACGACCCCTTCTTCTCCTTGCCCACAAACCAACGTCAGTGGTTCTAACCCTACTTTGCCCCACCGGATTACTCAATGCTGACCCTGCAGTCCAAGGAGGTCTGGTTGTCAGTCCCCACACACTCACCCCTTAAAGATTTCTGTTAACAGCTGAGTCAACTATGAGGACTTAGCTAAATTTTCCCTTCAGACGGAATGGCTTGTAGAAGAGCGACAACCGGAGCTTGCCTGACACAGTCCACCTGCCCACAATAAGCCGTAGGGGGTCTTCCGCGAAAACGCAGTTCCAGAAAATCCAAAGTCAGTCACAGTCGAACTTTAGCACAAGCTACACCCTCCTCAATTCTGATTGGTGAAGTGCCCTCTTTGCGGAAGTGATGCTCACACACGCGGAAGAGGAGTCACGGAAGAGGGGTGCTTCTTCCGTACAGAAATCCCCGAGGTGGGTACTGCATTACGAAAGAGAGCTCACCCCCGTGACCGACCGCCGCTCCTCTCCCTCATCTCGGCCATGGGCCCGCGGAGCCGCAAGCGTCGGGCGGGGGCAGTACAGAGCACCAACGACAGCAGCGCCCTCAGCAAGAGTTCCCTGGCCGCACACGGGTACGTGCACGACCCCTTTGCCCCGTTGCTCGTTCCGGGGACCGCGCGCCGCGCGCCGCTCATCCACCGCGGCTACTACGTCCGCGCACGCGCCGTGGGGCATTGCGTGCGCGCCTTCCTGGAACGGACGTGCGCGGCCCCCGGCGCTCCTCGCGCCCAGATCGTGTCGCTGGGAGCGGGCTCAGATTCGCTGTATTTTCGCCTGAAAACTGCGGGCTCCCTGGCCGGTGCTGCAGTCTGGGAAGTAGATTTTCTGGACGTCGCCCGACGCAAAGCGGAGAGGATTCAAGATACGCCGGAACTGTGCGCATTAACCGGGCTTTTCCAGAGTAGGGACCCCGCGTCAGCGCTGTGCTTTGAGAGTGTGGACTACCGCCTCCTAGGCCTGGACCTGCGGCAGCTCCAGCGATTGGACCAGGCCCTGGCCGCCGCCGGCCTTAATGCGGCCGCACCCACTCTGCTCCTAGCTGAAGCCGTGCTGACCTACCTTGAGCCGAGTGATGCCGCGGCCCTCATCGCCTGGGCAGCCCAGCGTTTTCCTGATGCCCTTTTCGTGATCTACGAGCAGATGAGGCCGCATGACGCCTTTGGCCAGGTCATGCAGCAGCATTTTCGGCAGCTCAATTCTCCCCTGCATGGCCTAGACTGCTTTCCCGACGTGGAGGCCCAGCAGCACCGCTTCCTTCAGGCTGGCTGGACTGCCTGTTGTGCTGTGGACATGAATGAATTCTATCGCTGCTTTCTCCCCTCAGAAGAATGCCAGCGCATGGAGAATCTTGAACCTTTTGATGAGTTTGAAGAGTGGCATTTGAAGTGCGCCCACTATTTCATTCTGGCCGCTTCTAGAGGAGACACTCTCTCCCAGACTCTGGTGTTTCCACCCTCAGAAGCGTTTCCTCGAATAGATCCTGCTTCTCCATCAGGCGTCTTCCCTGCCAGTGTAGTCACTAGTGACAGCAAGGGCCCAAACCTTAAGAGATATGGGCATGCCTCTGTCCTTTTGAGCCCAAGCGTTATTCTTAGTGCAGGAGGATTTGGAGAGCAAGAGGGACGGCATTGCCGAGTGAGCAAGTTTCACTTGCTCTCAAGATATTGTGACTTTGAATGGAAAGGCAACCAAATATGCAGTTGTGGGACTGGAACCCAGTGGGATGGACGCCTTTATCACACCATGACAAGACTTTCAGATACTGAGGTTTTGGTTCTGGGAGGGAGACTGTCCCCAGTAACTCCAGCCTTGGGGATTCTCCAACTTCGTGTCTCTAAGAGTAAGGATAATAGCACTGAGGACCTAAATATTACAATAACAAAGGCCGGCCCAGAAGATTCCATGTTGTCATGTTGGCGGCATTCAACAACAGAAGTGTCCTATGAGAATCAGAAATACTTGTTTGTGTATGGGGGTCGAAGTGTAGTAGAATCTGTACTAAGTGACTGGCATTTCCTACATGTGGGGACAATGGCTTGGGACAGTATCCCAGTGGAGGGGGAAGTACCTGAAGGTCGGCATTCACACAGTGCCTGCAGCTGGCAAGGGGGAGCCCTTATTGCTGGAGGGCTGGGTGCTTCTGAGGAGCCATTGAGCTCTGTACTCTTTCTAAAGCCAATCTCTTGTGGATTCCTCTGGGAATCAATAGTCATCCAGCCTCCCATTACTCCAAGGTACTCACACACAGCTCATGTGCTCAATGGGAAGCTTCTGCTTGTTGGAGGGGTCTGGATTCATTCTTCCTCAGTTCCTGGAGTGACTGTAATTGATTTGACTACAGGATTGAGCTCTGAGTATCAGATTGACACAACATGTGTGCCATGGCCATTAATGTTACACAATCATACCAGTATCCTCCTTCCTGAAGAGCAGCAGCTCCTGCTCCTTGGAGGTGGTGGGAACTGCTTTTCCTTTGGCACCTACTTCAATCCCCATACAGTGACATTAGACCTTTCTTCCTTAAGTGCTAGACAGTAGGACTGAACTTTTGACATATTGAGGACCCACTAACATGGACAATAAAGGTTTCCACAATAGGATTTGACTGTGGCTATAGACATTACTACTCCTTCATTCTCCCGCTTTTTCTTATTACCACTACTATCCAGTGCAGAAAGTGAAAGAGGTTGTTAAAACATACCAACATTCAGAGAGATGATACAAAAATAAAATATGAGTATCTGAAGAGAATGGTTATACAGTCATAGGGTAGGAATTGGGGAGCCTTTGGATCCCTGTGTGTCTAGTTTATTGGTTTTCCTCATCTATGTTTATCCATTTATTGAGTTACCAGATCTTTAACCTAAGTCAATTGAAAAATTTCCCATTCTCAGGCTTTGAAAAAATTCAACACAGATCCTTGGTAAGAATACAAGGTTGATAACTGATTTCTCTTCAAAGTACATAAATCTTTTGCTTTTTACCAAAGATTTCAATGGAAAGATACAGTAACGAGTTTTTAGCCAATTTTTGAGGCCTTATTTCTATGAGGCTGCTTTTTTTTTTTTTAAGATTTCATTTTATTTATTTGACAGAGAGAACACAAGAGAGGGAACACAAGCAGGGGGAGTGGGAGAGGGAGAAGCAGGCTCCTCGCCGAGTAAGGAGCCCGATGTGGGGCTCAATCCCAGGACCCTGGGATCATGACCTGAGCCGAAGGCAGACGCTTAGCGACTGAGTCACCCAGGTGCCCCTGTGAGGCTGCTTTTAAAAAAGAAGAATACAGGGTTGAAAATAGCTGAAGAAACATGGTTTGACCTCATGCTTCATGTATGAAATCTCAAATGAACCCAGTTACATTATCAGATATGGACATGAATAAACCCTGGGAAACAAAGGGCTTAACACCTAGGCATCTGGCAAGGCTATGGGTGGGCCAGATACTAAATAACTGGGAGGAATATGATCAGAAGGTGGAAAGGCTGCTCTGTATTTCTTGTTTCTAAATTCACCACAGACTACCTCCAACTTGCAGGAAGAATCAAAGCTGGATGTTGATGAAATGAGTGTTCTCAGCTATGTAGTAGTTCTAGAATTCTAACCTAGAAATGACTTAAAAGCCCAGGTTATACCTTCCATTATGCTACCTCTCAGATGGTGCCATCAACCATTATTACCGCATTAGTTTTGGTGGGGGGAGAGAAAAGGCGGGGGTGGGGGCGGGGATTGTCAAGAGAATGTGGATGTGTGCCAGACCTAAATTGGTAGTGCAATGGTGCCTCGTCTCTTGAATACTGCCTAGTGTGGTGCATTATGAGTAATTGGGCTTGTTCTCTCCAGAGAAATTACCCACATTTTCTGTAAGTGATTACCAGATTAAGCATGCCCTCCACCTTTAACCCTATACATGCATCATACTCAGTTAAGGAATTATGCGCTTCTCAAGCTCTACTCATTAGAACACTTAGAAGTTTTGTCAGCAGCATTTACTCTGTGCCTCTGGAGCAGCACTCAGAATGGACTAGTGCTGGATTCCAGTTTCATAATTAGAGATGTGGGCCAAATTGAGAACTGAAGTTGGACAATGATTTTCGCTTCTCCAACTCACCTGAATATTTTTGTTCTAAAATTCTGGTATGGAGCCTGGTGCAGTTATGAGAGTTAATGAAAGACTTTTACCTCATTTAGTGATTGTACTTTTTAGACCAGAAAAACTAGTTAAGGAAGGAAGAGAATTTCTTATTTTGAATCTCTACTCTGTCAGGGTCTCAAAAACAGTGTATCATACCACTGAGGATATAAAAACAAAGTTAAGAACAACTCTTCTAGGATATGTTCTTCAGAGGCCAGTGCTGTCACTTCTTTGTGTGCTTTCTGCATTTTACCACCAACTGTCCATTTTTTATCTTTCTGCAGATTTAATCCTCCTTAGTGATGTTAGGAAGTTGACATGGAACAATAATGTTCCAGTCCCCAGGCATTGTTTGTTTTTCTCTTTCTGCGATCTCAGACCTTGAAGTCCTGGTTTATTCTCTGTGCATTTGTAATCCCAAACCCAGTCTTGAACAACTCATGCCTACTCTGGGACCCATCCCACATGACATCTTTTGGAAAACACTCTCATATGACAGCCCCAAATGTAGCCAACTACTCTGTATCTGTGGGAGAGAAGCCTGTGCTCTTTGGAGAATCTGGTGAATAAGAGAACTAGTCCCTAAGGTGAGTTCTTAATCATAGGGACCATCCAATAATGTCTAGTGTGACATTAAAACTAAACTCAGCTTTTTGACTGGAGTAATGAAGGGGATATAAAATAGCATTATGTTGGCAAGGAAGGTCATGCATGAGTCCTCGCTGATCATGTTTGGACTTGATGTTTAAAGAGACAAGAAAAATATGTAGAGCAGAAATTATGAAATTTATAATCAGCCTCAGAGTAGATTGAGATTTCCTTGGATGTCGATAATTATGTAAATAAAAGATTTCTGTCATTGCACAGTTTAAAGACTGTTCACTTACCTTTCTTGGTCAATGACATAAAGCACTTGGTTGGGAAGGGGCAGTTCCTTGACTAAGGGAAGGAACTGGGTCTATCTAGTTCACTTCGCTATCCCCAACATAGTAGATGCTTAATAAATACTTGTTGGTTGGAGGTCCAATTTGACACTCAAATAAATTATATTTAAATATTACTATTACTATTGTACATACCATGCACAAACAGATGTCAAAATTCATTTAATTAGTGTATGTGGGGAGTATTAAAGTTTTAAAGACCTCCTATTTAGGAGTTTTTACTTTTTTTATTTTATTTTTTAAAGATTTTATTTATTTGAGAGAGAGAATGAGATAGAGCATGAGAGGGGGAAGGGCCTGAGGGAGAAGCACACTCACTGCTGAGAAGGGAGCCCGATGCGGGACTCGATCCCAGGACTCCAGGATCATGACCTGAGCCGAAGGCAGTCGCTTAACCAACTGAGCCAGCCAGGCACCCTATTTAGGAGTCTTTTAAAATTCAACTGTTTTAACCTGGGTAAAGGTGGTAGGCTCCCTGGTGTTACTCCTAGCTTTATAGATTACAAACCTTCTCCCTGATTGCAATTTCTAGCTGATCTTCATGCCCTTTCATTCAACAATGGACCATGGTTACCCCATATCCTTTGCAAATGAAGTGAGCTAACTTTGCCAAAAGGCTAATCTGAGGATGTAGGAAAATGCAATTAAATGTGCTCATGAGCAGATACACACAGGATCTTACTAGGATGTGGTGATGCTTCACTGGGCATGACTTGGTGTGTAACAAATTTTAATACAGGGAGAGGAAAAACCTTGCCCTAATATTTATGCAAAAAGTCATTTGCCACCTAAATGGCAGTCTAAAGCTAGAAAATAAGTTGTAAATTTAGGATATTATACTACATTATGCTTTTCTCATTCCCTAGCCTTTGTCCACATTTTTAGGCTTTTCATTAGAGCCTCTCAACATCTGATTCCTATGTAGACTTTTACTATTTCAGAAAAAGTTAGTAAAGCAGATCTTCCTTATGTATGGATATATCAGCAACGTAAACAATACTTAAGAGGAAAAAACCAACTTTGCCATCACCTTTCCTTCTCCCAAAAAACTCAACTGAAAAGGCAGTTTAGACCTCAATCCACTGAATTTAAATTTGGACAATTTAGTTCAGCCAACAATTTTTGGGGGAGGGGGCCGGAGAGGCAGAGGGAGAGGGAGAGGAAGAATTTTAAGCAAGCTCCACACCCAGAACAGAGCCCAACGTGGGACTTGATCTCACAACCCTGAGACCATGACCTGAGCCAAAATTGGATGCTTAACTGAGCCACCAGGGGCCTCCAGAAAACAATTTTTATTTCCAGGCCACAACACATGGTAAATGTTCAATTACATAACATGAAGGATGGATATATGTTTGATTCAGGCTAAAATTAGTAATAAATAGTGAGTTGTAATGTTAAGATCAGAGATTAGCCCCAGAAAATCAAAATATATTGTGAAATCATAGTAATTAGTTTGATATTGGTGCCAGAATAGACAAATAGATAGAAAGAACAAAGAATTCAAGAATAGACTGTATAGGGATGCCTGGGTGGCTCAGCTGGTTAAGTGTCTGCCTTCAACTCAGGTCACGATGCCAGGGTCCTGGGATTAAGCCCCATATTGGGCTCTCTGCTAAGTGGGGAGCCTGCTTCTCCTTTCCCTCTGCCTGCCACTCTGCCTGCTTGTGCTCTCTCTCTCTGTCAAGTTAATAAATAAAATCTTAAAAAAAAAAAAAGAATAGACTGTATAGTAAGGTGACATTCAGACCCATGATGAATGGCTGGACTCTTAAGTATATGTATGATTTGGGACCACTTGGTTAATCATTTGTGAAAAGTGATGTCAGCTCCCTACTTCTCACAAATCACAATCATAAATTCCAGATGGATAAAAGACGAAACTTATGGGGCGCCTGGGTGGCTCAGTTGGTTAAGTGGCTGCCTTCGGCTCAGGTCATGATCCCAGGGTCCTGGGATCGAGCCCCGCATCCGCCTCCCTGCTCAGCGGGGAGCCTGCTTCTCCCTCTCCCTCTGCCTGCCTCTCTGCCTACTTGTTCTATCTCTCTGTCAAATAAATAAATAAAATCTTTTAAAAAATGTATAAAAATAAATAAACAAAAGACCAAACTTAAACTTAAAAAACAAAGCCAAACTAAATTATATGAGCCTGATAACAAGTATAAAAGAATATGTTTATAATGTTTATAATCTTAGGTGTAGGAAAGGCCTGAAAGGACACATACATGTAAACAAAATTTTTTAAAAAAAATCTGATAACTTTATTCATTTAAAACTTCAGGGCAATAAGAAAATAAATTCGTCCCTCTCCTCAGGGTCAAGTCATAGGAATACTTTTGTTTTCCTTTTTTCATTCAGTCCCTGGAATTAAGATGCATGTGACTCACTCCTCTGTTTCTCAGTAATAGCTTCTGAGATAGGTTAACAATGAGAAATTTGGATAATGTAAAGTGGAGCTTTCAATTGACCATACCAACTCATTCATTCATCCATCCATTCAATATTTAGTGTTCTAAGCAGGATAGATCAGTGAACCAAATAATCCCTTATGGAATTTGCAGCTAGCAGGGGGAGACAAGAAACTAAAAAACAAAGATAATAAATACATTACATATTATATTAGAAGTGATAAGGACTGTGGAAAAAAGAACAAGTAGGATAAGGGGGATCAGGAGAGCATGGGGTTAGGCGTAACAGGTTAAAATAACCAAAAAGGGTGGAACAGGGTCACTCTCACGGAGCCATTATTTGAGAAGGTAATAGAGTTAGCTAAGAAGATTATTAAGGAAAAAGTATTTTAGGCAGAGGGACTAGCCAGAGCAAAACTCCTAAAGAAATTCACTGTAAGAACTTTAGCTTTGATCTGGGTGAAAAAGAGAGTTGTGTAGGGTTTTGGGTGATACTATTTGACTCACATTTTTTTTTAAAGATAGATCATATGAATAGGGGAGGTGCAGAGGGAGAGAATCTCAGGCAG